GATCATAATTTTATGAAGTACAAGCATCATAAAAATAAAATTGTATTTAGCGAGCAGGCTAACATTTGATATAAGTAGCATGCTTATCAACACTTGCATAAATGACGTAGATTATGAAAGATCTTTACCATTGTGCTGTAAGAATTCTAAATAAAACAACCATTTGATGAATAGATGTTTAACATATAATGTTATTAAATAAATTGTAAGTAAAAAATACTTGGACAAAGTCGAGCGCAAAAGTGTGTTTCACAATAAAATTTCTATGTGTCATGCATTAATTACTGTATCTTGTTTGAATTAGATAAAAATCAATATTAGTTGTTTGCACAAGAATAAGATACCTCTGATAAGGATTTTTTCGGAGAAATATATAAATCAAAAATACTGTGAAATAACGATTTCAACGATCTAAAATGCTTGAAAATGCTTATTTTAGCAAAACAGCACGTTTTGAGCTTTAATCTGCGTTTTAACGCGTAAAACAGCATAAAAACGACGAAATTTTTATTATTCGTTTTTTATTAATATTGCTTCTATTTGAACGATTTCAACGATCTAAAATGCTTGAAAATGCTTATTTTAGCAAAACAGCACGTTTTGAGCTTTAATCTGCGTTTTAACGCGTAAAACAGCATAAAACGACGAAATTTTTATTATTCGTTTTTTATTAATATTGCGTCTATTTGAACGATTTCAACGATCTAAAATGCTTGAAAATGCTTATTTTAGCAAAACAGCACGTTTTGAGCTTTAATCTGCGTTTTAACGCGTAAAAGTAAATTCGAATTAGAGACCGACCGAAATTTCGGATTGGGTTCCGGTTTCAGCCAGTTTTAGCCAAGAATTCTAGTTTCGGCTTTAGTTTCGGTTTCGGCCAAAATTGAATAATAATTAGAGAAACTGAGTAAGCTTTACTACGAAGTCGATGTTCTGGACATACACATTCTTTTACGATATAAATACAATTGCTACTATTAAGTTGAACATAACCCATTGTTTTGTTGCCGTAATTCTCACGCGAAGCTCTACAATTAATAAAATAAATAATTATATTCAATAAAAAGTGAAAACCTAGATATTTTGATTTATTATATGATTTACCTTTATATCTTAGCATCTCGTATTTCAGCAGAATTGAACCGTACATCATTTAAAAAAAATAGTTATCATCTATATATATAAAAGAAAGTCGAGTTAGTTACCATGCTTATAAGTAAAGAACGACTAATCCAATTTAGCTAAAAATTGGTGGAGAGGTAGCTTAGGGCCAGGAGAAGGTAATATAATACTTTTTGAAGTGAAAACTTTTCTATAAAGGCACTAAACGACACTAAAAAGAGACAAACATATTCGCTTATATGGATTATCCTGCAGGAGATTCATCAAATCACATGAGCAAAGCGAGGCGGAACAAAGTTTGTCGGGTCAGCTAGTAAAAATATAAACATCAGGAATATTATCAGAATTTGACTTCATAAATCCTTTATCACACATAGCTAATCTGAATTGATAAGAAATAACTCCGCATGTGGTCTCTAATTCAAAATCTCTATTTTATTCTCTAATTATACAATCTCTATATGTTTCACGATCTCAACTTCTCCCCTTTTACACTGTCGTCTCTCTGCCGCGTTCTCTACTCGACCCTCCTCTTGCCTGTCTTCTCTTGCACTCCTCGAGTATCTTTCCCCTTTACTCGCAGCGCTTGCGCGCAGTCCAGCCGACTACACCACAAGCCTATATTTAAGATTCGGCCCTTCCTGACTAAGACGCGTCCCCGCACTCTTCGTCTCCTGTTATATAATCTTTTCGCCAGGCTAGTCGTTGCCGTCGTCGAGGTAGTCGGCGTCGCGGTGGTCCACTTCGTCATTGTCGCTTGTTGGCGCAGATGTTGGCCGGCTCCTTCTTGACAACCGCTAGCGTGGACTTCGACTTCTTCTTCTCTTTCTTAATTGGCTTCACGGCTTTGTAGGCATCATTGTCTTCCAAAGGCAAGCGCTTTTCCGATTTTGATTTTCTTTTTGCCTTCTTCGATTGCACCACCGTCTTTTCATGATCTTTGCTATCATACTTCCGTTTAGACGTTTCCAAACGCACTGCCAATGGTTTATCTATGCTGGAACTACTGTGTTTACGTCTATCCATATTTTTGTCCTTACTCCTATCCTTATCCCTATGTTCCTTGGTTGAATACTTGGGCGAAGAACTATTTTCTCTGGAACTGCTGTGATTGCGATCCGTGTCCTTGGAGCTCTTGTGGTCCTTGCTGCGACTCTGGTGATCACGATGTTTGTCGCGATGCTCCGACTTGGAACTCTTGTGCTTATCTGGCGAGCTGAACCCGTTCGACATGTCATTCTCATGCTGGTAGTTGATCGACGACTAGACAGGCTCAGACGCTGAAATATTGACGTCCATAGCGGCATGTTGGGAACACACCTCTTGGCCGAATGCGGGTGCTGCGACGTCCGAAGTACGTCACGATTAAATCTTCGAGTGCAATGGGATCGCAAAAAAGTACCCATCTCGGTAGGGTTGTTCACATCTCCCGCTGACTTGAACTCTCCCCAGATCTCTGCGACTTGGCTCCCTGGCTGCAGTTCGGGAATCGCCTCGGTGGGAATTTTCGACTGACCGGTTTCGGAGCCCACAAAAACCGGGTAGGCATCGTATGGTCCGTCACGAGTTGCTTCTCCCAGCGTGTGCATTGGTACTTTCCTGGGCTTCTCAAAATGTGTCATGGCCAGAAACGGTTCCTGGGAGCTGTAGTCCACCCTAAGCATCAAATCGATTTTTACGAAGGCGGCGTCTGGAAGATCTAAGAGCGTCCTCCCCAGCAACAGCTCAAAAGGCTGGTAAGAGTCCTCCACGATGAGTAGCTATACCTGCTCGCACACGTCATCTATATTTACTGTGGTCTCTACTTTACCCTTGGTCTCCACCGTTTTTTGGCCAAAACTTTGCAAAGAGGTCACGTGTGGCAGCACCTTCAGTCGTTTCGCCAACGCGACGCTCTCTCTGATAGTGCACACAGCTTTCCCGGGATTGACGTAAGCCGTCACTTTGTGGTTTCCACCTATGGGGGCTTCCTTCAGGTACTTGCCAAACTCCTCTCCTGGTATGGCAACGTGGAACTGTGCCTGTGTTCCGGGGGACTCTTGTTTAACTTCGGCGGTTACTGGAGACGAATGGCAATAGCGTGCGATGTGACCGTAGCTTCGGCAACGGAGACATAACGGCCGTCCGTATCTGTCTCGAGCTGGGGGTCTCGCCGCGGCGGCTGGTTGGTCTTGCACTGTCGCTGGTGTCGATGTACGCCATGAAGTGCTTGTGGGAACTTCTCGAGAAGACATGGTCGTTGTCATCGGGGTAGTCCGTTTCGGCGTCGAGAGCCCCTCACTTTGCCTAAAGGACTGCCGGTGGGCCCGTCCTCGGTCAAGAGATATTTTCTACCATCTTAAAACGTCGTGAAGTAAATCGTTGACACTCATATATCGGTTGAGCGCTACGGCGTTGGCTGTGTCCAGAAATTCGCATGTTTCTCGGTGATTGAGATCTAGTTTGCGGCAAAGCGAGGCCTTCTCATATACGTAGGCGTCGGTCGCCTCGCTGCGGCGCTGGACTCGTAGCGCTCCGTCAGGCTTTTACGTTCGCAAAACGCCTCCTCGAACTCTGTAACAAACTCGCTAAACGTGTTCATCTGGGTTGCGTTCAATGCATACCAGTGTCTGGCCCCTCCTTCCAGTCGAGTGCGCGCCGTCTCCAGCATGTATGAGTCCGGGATGGCGTGGAGAGTGGTAATCCTACGCAAGGTCTCCAACCACTCCTCCGGTTGGTCGCTTACGCCGGAGAAGGTGCGTACATTTCGCAGTACGTCTGGCAAACCTCCGCCGGTGGTATCTTCGATGGTTATGTCCCGAGAATGTCCTGGGTTTTCGGGGGCGTCGCAATCATTAGAACCGTGCGTAGACATAGCGTCCTCAGTGACGATCGGGAAAAACGTGGTTTCAAAACTTCTAAAAAAAACTACAAATATTGCCAAGATCACGTGTAGTTGTAGTGTCAATCCACTTTCCCTTCCTTTCCGGCGTCGATGAGCCCGGATGCAGCAGATAAATCCGGATTTTTTTCCGTTAAAAAAAAACTGATCTTACGAAAGCACATGTTTTCGTCTCTTCTTCACGGTCGGCTCCAATTTCTCGATCTGCGTTGTCTCTGCGGGATATATTCTTCTCAATTTATCCCACTTCTGATGTTAAGAAATAACTCCGCATGTGTCTAATTCAAAATCTTTATTTTATTCTCTAATTATACAATCTCTATTTGTTTCACAATCTCAACTTCTCCTTTTTTACACTGTCGTCTCTCTTCCGCGTTCTCTACTCGATCCTCCTCCTGCCTGTCTTCTCTCGCACTCCTCGAGTATCCTTCCCCCTTCACCCGCAGCGCTTGTGCGCAGTCCAGCCGACTACGCCACAAGGCCATACTTAGCAGAATTAACTTTAACAAGCGTTAAATTTACAATATAATTGTCAAGTTACGTGAAATAGCCGAAAACGCTGTACTATTTTGAAATTGCTTTAACATTATGACGTCCCAAGTTTGGCGACCAATCCAAGCGCGTTCATAGTCACGTGTTTTTTTTTTAATGTAATCAATTTTTAATTGTACATAATTAATTGAAAAAACATTTTTTTTAAATTTTGTAATATATAATTGATAATAAAGTTTTAAATAACAAAAAATAGAGAATATTTTCTTTCAAATTCCCAATTGCGATTCTGAGCGGCCAAAATAGGTTTTTTGGGGGGTACGCTTCGGCTCGTAGCTAGGGGGTGCCGATAGGCTTCGTAAGGTGATATACGCATGCGATGCTTTTGTGACTGATTTCTTCTATAAATATGATGTGCGTACTTGGCTGTTTATGATGAAATATAATTTATAATATAATTATTTTGGAATAATCATAATCAATACAATTAATATACATTTTGAAATAAAACTCAAAAATAAGGTGGTTTATTGCAGTTTTTTAAGCTTATTCTTAACGTATTTCTAATAAGCACAAATATAATTATTTTTAGCATATCTTAGATAAACGGTTATTGAATCTAATCCCAAAAAGTAAAGACCCCAAAACTTGTAAGTGTTTTTACAAATAGTTGACTTTCCATGTAGAATTAACTGGTTCGACCTAGGTGAGAATTATTAATTAGTAATTGAATATTAAAGTTACTAAATATTATGTTGTTATTAACCTTATTTGTGATATAATCTTGACAAGCCATTCGAATACGCTCTGATGTAGCCGGTGCGTGTAAACGGAAGTACTCGTTGACTCCATTTTCCTTTCGAGCTGCTTTGATTGCCTCTCGGATTGCAAAAATAACGGATGATGCCAAAAACAATGGCGGTTCTCCAATGGCTTTTGATGAATAAACCGCTCTTGGATTTGAAGAATCTTTCAAAAGCGCCACATTGAATTCTAATGGAATATCTCCAAAACTTGGAATTTTATAAGCCCCAGGGCCCTTGGATGCAAAAGTTCCATCCGGTAAGGTAACCATTTCCTCAATTACAAACAACCCGTAACCCTGCATAAATCCACCTTCTATTTGACCAATATCAATAGCAGGATTTAAACTGTTGCCCAAATCCATGACAATATCAGTTCGTAGAATCTGATGATCGCCTGTTAGGGAATCTATCTCTACCTCTGTAACAGCCGCACCAAACGAGAAATAATTAAACATTTTATCGCCTGTATTAGTAGCCCAATCCCAATTAACCGGTGGTTCTCGATGAAAACCTGTTGCCGAAAGACTGATGCGTTGATTGTAAGCTGCCATAATCCATTCCTCCCAACTGCCCTTTGGATTTTTTGCTTTAATAGGTTCTAGACGGTTATTTAATTTGATACAAGCATCTTTTACAGCCATTCCATTCAAATCAGAAGACATACTTGCGACCGTAGCTGTAGTGTTAGGAACCTTATCAGAACTTGCTTCACTGGTATGGATCTTTTCAACGGGAATGTTTAAAGCCTTGCTAGCCACTTGTATCATTTTAGTGTGAAGACCTTGACCCATTTCCACTCCACCGTGTGATAGCAGGACAGAGCCATCTTTGTAAATCAAAATTAAAGCACCAGCTTGCTGGTAGGCATCAAATCCAAAACCAATACCGTATGTGGTAGTAACAACGTCAATACCACGTTTCTTCCAACGATTTTCTTTATTAAACTTGTCAACAGCTTGCTTCCTTTGAAAGAAGTCAGAATTAACCAAAACTTCTTCGAAACATCTTCGAACGTTGCAATCAACCAGAGGTTGATTATAAATAGTTAAATCTCCTTCCTTATACAAATTAAGCCTGGCTATTTCAACATAATCTTTGTTTAAATATTCAGCTACTTCCCTAAGCATACATTCCGCAGCAAAATTGGTTTGTGGATTACCAAATCCACGGAAAGCAGTGTTTGTAGGAAGATTTGTCTTGCATACCTTGCTGATAACATTAATGTTTGCTATGTTAGTGGAGTTGGTTATATGTGCTGTGCCGTGCATTGCAACAGCAAAAGACATATCAGCTGAGTGTCCCGCATTTAGAAACAAATTAATTTTAGCGGCATGAATTTTTCCGTTGTCGTCAAACCCAAGTTTATATTTTACCAAAAATGGATTTCGTCCACCTGTAGCTCCCATATCTTCATCTCTTTCTAAAACCAATCTAACAGGACGTCTTGTTTTTCGTGCAGCTAAAGCTGCGTAGCAAGCAAATTTTCGTCCTGTGGTTTCTTTACCACCAAAGCCACCTCCAATGCGTTTGATTTTAATAACCACTTTGTTTTGTTCTACCCCTAATAATTTGGACACAGTTTCGGATAATCCGGATTGATCTTGCGAAGAAGCATAAACTTCCATCTCTTCTCCTTCTCGGGGTACTGCCAAGAAGGCATGTGGTTCCAAATAGAAGTGTTCTTGGTATCCAGTACGTGCCTCACCAACAATTACATTTTTACATTTTGGTATTACCTCTGAGACATTACCAGTATTTATTTTAGCTTCAAAAGAGTAGAAACTGTTTTCTTCAATAGCTTGATCAATAGATACAACTGGCTTGAGTTCATCATACGTCACATGCACAAGATTAACGGCTTGTTTTGCTGATAGTTGATTAGTAGCTAGAATACCACCCAGGACTTGATATTGACTTGTAACTAAATCACGACGAAGAAATTCTTCATCGCCCATCATGCCGCAGGTTTGACGATCTTTGGGGATGTCTTCAGGTAGGATAAAATCTACCACATGCGGAGCCGCAAGTGCTTTAGATAAATCAACATTTAAAATTTTTGCATAAGATTTTTTTGAAAATATCAATGCCAAGTGCAATTCTTTCTCAAAGATTGGTACGTCATCAATGTAGATTGCTTCACCCGTGGCTTGATTCAACGCATTGGTATGAACAATGGGGCGACCAATTGTATCAGTTACGTGTTCATTTTCTACAATTTGGAAGTACTGACTGCTTTTAGACGGTTTTGAAGTAAACTTATCCAATGCGCTGAGATCTTTTGGATCTATTGGTACGTTCAGTTGCTTGGATATGTTAAGATATGTTCGGAAGAAGAAACTCAATGCTAGTGATCTTCTGTACGAAACCATTCCTCCTGGAACATTATCTGATAACGGAAGATCATCCAAAAGCAATTGGTATGCATTTTCCAACATCTTTTCATCAAACTTTTGACCAATTAATTGTGTGATTTTCTTGACCGCGATGGTAGTTGGGGCCATTCCACCAAATGCAATGTTGATGTCTTCAATTTGTAGACTTTCTGAGAGAACCAAATTTAAAGCACTGTTGACAATAGCAATGTCATCATCTCTTCTCCGAGATTGTTTATGGGCATAAACGTATTGATTGCGGCGCGTGAAAGGAATCTCAATACTCTCTAAGATTTCATGTGGGTTTACAATATTTTTCCGGTACCCAGTATAAAAGTGTTCATCCATTAAAACTGTACGGTTGCCTGAGATACTGCGAAGATGTAATCGTGCCCTAATTGCCATCCAAATTGGATTTAAATCTGAGATTGGACTTCCAGTCATAATATTACCTCCAATTGAGGCTACACTTCGGATTTGTTTACCAGCAAACCAGTGTAATATTTCTACAACTGCTTGGCAAATGCGTGTTTCCCATTCTGGTCGTATTTTAATTAGAGTTTTGAAAGTAGATTCAATTTCATCCAAGGTAACCCCTGCTCCAATACGAATGGTCTCGTTGCTGACAACAATCTGATTAAGTTCCAAAACCATCGCAGGTTGTATGTAACAAGAGTAAAATTGTTGTTTGAATTTGACCTCTACCCCAACTTCTGTATTACCTCCAATTATCTTTGCGCCTGGGTTCTGCAGTAAAAGCTGTAAAAGCTCTTCCATTGATGTTGGCCTGTACCAAGTCAATTTTTCTCCTTTAAACATGACTGATGTGTTATCATAAGTGTCATTTAGTTTTAATTCTGGTGGAAAGATAGGCTCCTGGGAACTTTCATATGGTACAAATTTACTTGGTTCAAACAATTTTCCAACATCATTTTGATGTTCATGATTACCGTTTATACCATTTGTGCTTGTGGTACCATTTTGCAGTTTGCAACATTTATCACCCATCCCACATCTATTCAAACCATTAGTATTTTCTTTGGTCATAACATTGGCAGCTTGCATCACCTCCCAATCCTCAGTAAATGTTTTGTACCCTTCAATGATTGGTCTGTACCCAGTGCATCTGCAGAGATTTCCTTGGAAGGCTACTTTTAAGTCTTCCATTTTTGGCTTTCCATGATTCCTTAGAAGAGTGTACATTGACATAACAATTCCAGGTGTACAAAAACCACATTGTGAGCCATGTGCTTTAGCAATGCGTTCCTGAACTGAATGTAGCTTTGTTTTAGTTGATCCGATTCCTTCTACTGTGGTCACTGCTAATCCATGCAGTGAGCATACCGGTGCAAGGCAGGCATTCACCGGATAATGTCTTAAAAAGGCAAATTAAAACAAAGTAATACTTGTTTGCAATTAACATACCTAATTATTTGTGATTTTCGGTCGTACTTGGACACCATGACTGTGCAAGCTCCACAACCACCTTCTCCACATCCCAATTTTGTTCCACATAATGAAACTTATAATTTAATATTAAGAAAAATATTCTAATTTTGTAAGAATACTTTAAGTCAATATTTCTTTAAAAAAAATTAATTTTAGATATGACAGTATAAATAAAAGATAGTTTAAAAAAAACTAAGAAATTGTTCTTGCAGGTGTCTAGGCAGGTGTTGTAGCTGTCTCAGTCTGCTAATTCATCGAAATTGGTAAAATGTACCGTGCCGATTACAAACAAGCAAGCAAGCAAGCTAACACACAAACATACATGTGAAGCTAATATAAAGCGTGTAAAAAGGATACGCTTTGTTCTTAAATACATTAACAAAGTCCATTCTGGGTTAACATTCTCCTCAACAATCTAAAAATGAAGCGCAACATTAAGAAAATAAATCACAATAAAATTAAAAACTTACTTGTTTGCCATTAACATAAAACACCAAAACACCACTTTTATCATTATTAACCATTTTAAATGCAAAGTTCAATCTGTTGTGTGCGATGTCGAACAGTCGTTAATCAACTGAATCAGATTCAATAGAAAAGCTATATAAAGTTAACTAAGTGCGCATGAACTCTGGTATTCCACTCAAAGTTGATTCAACTTCTATCTACTAATGTTTGAGTTGCTTGATGTTACTGTAATACATACCTTGTATTTTTATGGATTGGAATTTTTGAGTTATATATGGATTAGTAATATTTGTTTTGTTTGTGTTTATCTTTCTGTGTGGTCGAATTACTTGTATAACATGATATTATGTTCAAGGTTGTAGCTCAACTCATGTACGTGACAATGCGTTTTGCACTTAAACTCCATATTATTATTATGTTCGTGGTTCGTGCATGTGGGATGAGCCTCTCCACAAATTGTGGTATTAGTACATAAGTACATATTTGATTTAATTTATGTATTTGCGTAGCAACTTGAATCAAAACATCTCACGATATTATGAGTTTTGAAATAGTGAAGCATCACTTGAGATTACTTACACTCACCCAAAACTATAATTCTATTGCTTAAAGCATTAAAACAAATATGTACAAAAAGAAATTTGTTTCATCAGAAATTTCACAACGCAGTTAAAGTGGTAGGAAACCTGTTAACGCGACCTAAACTTTATTTTCAATTTTATAAATTTGATCATATATGAAATATAATATAATATAATATAATATGTAAGTATATATACTCTATATATACTCGATGTTCCATGTTGACTTCACTGGTTCCACCTAGACAAACAAATTTGTTTTAATTAGTAATCCCCTTTTATATTTAGATTACATTACTTTTTTGGTGAGATGATCTTGACAAGCCATTCTAATACGTTCAGGAGTAGCGGGAGCTTGCATCCGGAAGTTCTCTGTGACACCTGCATCCTTGCGTGCTGCTTTGATTGCCTCCCGAATTGAAAAGAATGTTGATGTTGCTAAACACAAAGGTGGCTCCCCAGTTGTCTTTGACGAAAACACCGCTCGTGGATTAGAGGAATCTTTCAACAGCGCTACATTAAACTCAATTGGAATATCTCCAAAACATGGGATCTTATAAGCTCCAGGTCCCTTGGATAAATAAGTACCATCCTGCAAAGTGACCATTTCTTCTCTGACAAACAAGCCGTACCCTATCATAAACGCGCCCTCAATTTGGCCAATGTCAATTGCTGGATTTAAACTGTTGCCTAAATCCATGACAATATCAGTACGCAGTAGTTGATGATCACCAGTTAAGCAATCAATCTCTACTTCAGTAACAGCCGCCCCAAATGAGAAGTAATTAAACATTTTATCCCCGGTATTTGTAGTCCAATCCCAGTTAACTGGTGGTTCTCGATGAAATCCTGTTGCGGAAAGACTGATGCGTTGGTTATAAGCTGCCATAATCCACTCCTCCCAAGTGCCTTTCGGATTTTTTGCTTTAATAGGTTCTAGGCGGTTGTTAATTTTAATGCAGGCATCTCTTACAGCCATTCCATTTAAATCAGAAGACATACTTGCAACAGTGGCTGTGGTATTAGGAACTTTATCAGAACTGGCTTCAGTAGTATGTATTTTTTCAATGGGAATGTTTAGCATCTTACTAGCTACTTGTATCATTTTAGTGTGAAGTCCTTGACCCATTTCTACTCCACCGTGTGTTAACAATACAGAACCATCTTTGTAAATCAAAATTAAAGCTCCAGCTTGTTGCAATGCATCATTTCCAAAACCAATGCCGTATGTAGTAGTTGCAACATCAATACCCCGTTTCTTCCAACGATTTTCCTTATTAAATTTGTCAACAGCTTTCTTCCTGTTGTTAAAGTCAGAATTAACCAAAACTTCTTCGAAACATCTTCGAACGTTGCAATCAACCAAAGGTTGATTATAAATAGTTAAATCTCCTTCCTTATACAAATTAAGTCTGGCTATTTCAACGTAATCCTTATTTAAGTATTCAGCAACATCTCTCAGCATTGCTTCGGCTCCAAAATTAGTTTGTGCGTTGACAAACGCACGCATAGCAGTGTTTGTAGGTAGATTAGTCTTGCATACTTTACCAATTACTCTTATATTTGGTATATTTGTAGAGTTTGTAACATGAGTGATTCCAACGGAAGCTACAGCAAGAGACACATCTGCTGAATATCCAGCATTTACAAACATGTCAACTTCGGCTGCGTGGATTCTGCCATCATCATCAAAACCTAATTTGTATTTAAACATAACAGGATTGCGACCACCAGTATAACCCATATCTTCATCTCTTTCCAAGACTAATCTCACAGGACGTTTTGTTTTCTTTGCAGCCAGAGCAACATATAACGCTAATTTTCTACCGGTTGTTTCTTTACCACCAAAACCACCACCAATACGTTTCACTTTAACGATGACTTTGTTTTGATCTACACCTAATAATTTAGCAACCACTTCTGACAACCCTGTTTGATCTTGGGAACAAGCATAAATTTCCATTTCATCGGCTTCTCTGGGTATTGCCAAATATGCATGAGGTTCCAAATAAAAGTGTTCTTGGTATCCGGTTCGAGCTTCACCAGAAATAGTATTTTTACATTTTGGCATTGCATCTGTTACGTTACCAAAACATAGTTTAGCCTCTGGTGGATAGAAACAGTTTTCTTCTATGGCTTGATCCATAGTCACAACTGGTTTGAGTTCTTCATAGGTTACTTGCACCAAATTAACAGCTTGTTTTGCTGCTAGTTGATTTGTAGCTAGAATACCACCTAATACTTGATATTGACTTGTAACCAGATCACTACGAACTAATATCTCGTCTCCCATCAACCCACAAGCCTGTCGATCATCTGGAATATCTTCTGGTAAGATAAAATTCACAACATGTGGGGCCGCAAGTGCTTTAGATATATCAACATTTAGAATTCGGGCATGGGACTTTTTGGAAAAAATTAATGCCAAGTGCAGTTCTTTCTCAAAGATTGGTACGTCATCAATATAGATTGCTTCACCCGTGGCTTGATTCATAGCATTAGTATGAACAATAGGACGTCCTATTGTATCCGTGACTTGTTCTTTTTCAAAAACTTGAAAGTATTGACTGCTTTTTGGTGGCTTTGAAGTGAATTTGTTCAATGCGCTTAGATTTTTTGGATCTATTGATACGTTCAATTGCTTCGAAATGTTGAGATAAGAGCGGAAGAAGAAACTTATTGCAAGAGAACGTCTGTACGAAATCATTCCTCCCGGAACATTTTCGGGGAATGGTAGATCGTCCAACAGCAGTTGGTAGGCAGTTTCCAACATTTTCTCATCAAATTTTTGACCAATTAATTGTTTGATTTTCTTGACCGCGATGGTAGTTGGGGCCATTCCACCGAAAGCCATGTTTATATCTTCAATTTTATTATCTGGACTTTCAGAAAGAATTAAATTTAAAGCACTGTTCACAATAGCAATGTCATCATCTCTTCTACGAGATTGTTTATTAGCAAAGACATATTGGTTACGCCTGGTGAACGGTATTTCAATTGCTTCTAAGATTTCATCTGAGTTAACAATATTTTTCCTGTATCCAGTGTAGAAGTGATTATCCATCAAGACTGTGCGATTGCCTGCAATACTTCGCAGGTGTAAGCGTGCTCCAATTGCTATCCAAATTGGATTTAAATCTGAAATCGGACTTCCAGTCATGATATTACCACCAATTGTAGCTACACACCGAATTTGTTTACCAGCAAACCAATGTAACATTTCAACCACAGCATTGCAAATGCGTGTTTCCCATTCTGGGCGAGTGGCAATAAGATTTTTGAATGTGGATTCAATGACATCCAACGTAACGGCAGAACCTATACGTATGTTATCACTGTTAATCACAATCTGGTTCAATTCAACAACGGAAGTGTGTTTTATATAAACCGGATATAGTTGTGCTTTAAATTTCACTTCCACACCAACTTCTGTATTACCTCCAATTATCTTTGCACCAGGATTCTGCTGGGTAAGCTGTAAAAGCTCTTCTATTGTTTTGGGTCTGTACCAAGTAACGTTTTCTCCTTTGAACACCAACGATGTTTTATCATAAGCGTCATTAAGTTTTAATTCAGGAGGAAAAATAGGTTCTTGGGAACTGTCATACGGTACAAATGTGCTTGTTTCGAATAATTTGCCAACTTCGTCTTTAGTTTTATGCACGCCGTTTATACCATTGGTGATTGCATTACTGTTTTGCAATTTGCAACATTTATCACCCATCCCACATCCGTTCAAACCATTAGTCTTTCCATTGGTCATACCATTGGCAGCCTGCATCACCTCCCACTCCTCAGTAAATGTCTTGTAACCGTCTATGATAGGTCTGTACCCGGTACATCTGCAGAGATTTCCTTGGAAAGCCACATCAAGGTCTTCCATTTTCGGTTTTCCATGATTTCTCAAAAGAGTGTACATGGACATGACTATCCCAGGCGTACAGAAACCACATTGAGTGCCGTGTGCCTTAGCAATACGCTCCTGTACCGGGTGCAGCTTAGTTTTAGTTGAACCGATGCCTTCAACGGTAGTCACGGCTAATCCATGCATAGAACATACCGGTGCTAGGCAGGCATTCACAGGATAATGCCTATCAAATATATGAATATAATCAAAGAACCATAACATTTCCGCAATTAGAGTAGGTATACTATGCAACTTACAATACTTCTTGAGTAGTCCTGTCGAATTTGGATACCATAACTGTGCAAGCACCACAGCCACCTTCCCCACATCCTAATTTGGTTCCACATAATAATACTAATTATATATGATTAAGAAACAAGTAACAATTGTAGGTAGAATACTGAATGAATTATAAAGGATACATTTATTCCTTAAATAGACCAACAGTGTCCATTCCGGATTTACATTCTCATCAACAATCTAAAACAGTAAATTAAATGAATGTCACTTAAACTTACACCCACTTGGTGTTATAACAATAAGTGTTAGAATATAACCACCAAAATTAATAATATAATTAATAAACTGATAACTTACTCGTTTGCCATTAACGTAAAACACCAAAACTGAACTTGCATCCACTTGATCATCTTCCTTAGTTCTGGTCATATTTTATAACCATAAATAATGACATCAAAATATAAACATAAACAACCGGCAATAATAACAAGTGTAAGCAACTAGTAATATTACGTCGACACTTGCGTTACGACTGAATCAGAATTAACAGAGAAGCAAAATGAAATAACAAACTGCGCATTAATGTCGAGTAGTTAAACTCTCATCTAGAAACAGAGTGGTCCGGTAAGTCAATTATTCTTTTTAAGTAATTGCTGATCATAAAATGATGCAATTTTATCAGAATGACTTGTTTCAATTGAAGTGGTTAAAACCGAAGGTTTTTAATATATTTCAAATTGATCTCCAATGAATGATAGTGTTTGCATTTGACTTATTTGTTTACCACGTGTTTTAGTCTGGTTGGTCACGATATATGTTGATGTTACATGAGGTTAAAATCAAGGTCGTATACCGGTATATTCCATAGTGTAGCTAAATTGATATGAATTCATTTGCTAATGGTACATTTGTAGTAGTGAAGTATGTACACATATACTTTCAACAAGTGTGCCTTTATTTAACGATTATTTCGTGTTATTTATATTGAGTCAACAACACTCTCATGATAATAAAATACTTATAAATATTTTACAAATGCTCGACTTTCCAAGTTGATTTATTAACTTTCACCTAAAAATTTAAAAAATTAATATTTGTTTTTTTTATATTATGTTATCTAAATTACCTTTTTAGTAATGTGATCTTGACAAGCCATCCGAATTCGTTCCGCTGTAGCTGGCGCATGTAATCGGAAGTCCTCCACGACGTCATTTTCTTTTCGCGCTGCTTTTATTGCCTCCCGTATAGCAAAAAATACAGACGATGCTAAAATCAACGGCGGTTCCCCAATAGCTTTCGATGAATAAACTGCTTTAGGATTAGATGAATTTTTTAAAAGGGCAACGTTAAATTCTATAGGAATATCCCCAAATCCTGGTATTTTGTAAGCCCCAGGTCCTTTCGACATGAAGGTACCATTTGGAGAGACAATCATTTCCTCCATCACATACATGCCATAACCTTGCACGAAACCACCTTCTATTTGACCAACATCAATTGCTGGATTAAGACTGTTACCAACATCCATTACAATATCAGTGCGTAGAACTTGATGATCTCCTGTTAAGCAATCAATTTCTACTTCGGAGACGCATGCTCCAAAAGAAAAGTAATTGTAAAGTTTATCTCCTGTATTTGTATCCCAATTCCAGTTAACAGGAGGTTCACGATAGAAACCTGTGGCTGAAAGACTGATTCGTTGATTGTAAGCAGTAAAGATCCATTCTTCCCAAGTACCATTGGGATTTTTAGTTTTGACTGGCACTAATCGATTATTGATTATATCACACGCATTCTTAACTGCCATGCCGTTCAAATCTGAAGTCATACTAGCTGTTGAGGGACTGCTGTTTGGAACTTTGTCAGTTGCTACCTCACTAGTATGTATCTTTTCAACAGGTATCCCTAGTTCCCTGCTAACAATCTGAACCATTTTAGTGTTAAGTCCTTGTCCCATTTCAACTCCTCCATGCGTCAACAACACAGAGCCATCTTTGTAGATCAAAATCAAAGCACCAGCTTGTTGTATAAAATCAAATCCATAACCAATCCCATAAGTGCAGGTCATAACATCAATACCTCGTTTTTTCCATCGATTTTCTTGATTAAATTTCTCAATGCTTAGTTTTCTTTGATGAAAGTCTGAATGTATCAAGACTTCTTCAAAGCACCTTCGAATATTGCAATTAACAATAGGTTGATTGTAAATAGTTAGATCACCTTCATTAAACATGTTAATCCTAGCAATATCAACATAATCTTTCTTTAAAAATTCTGCTACATCTCTAAGCATACATTCCGCAGCAAAAATGCTCTGCGGATTTCCAAATCCACGGTATGAAGTATTGGTAGGTAAGTTAGTTTTACATACATAACTAAACCCACTTAAATTTTGAATGTAGATTGAGTTATTAATGTGCGAAAGAGCATGCAACATAGCCTTGTATGATTTGTCTCCGGAATATCCAGCGTTACTGTACAATTCAACTACGATAGCATGAATTCTTCCGTCATTATTAAAACCCACTTTGTATTTAAACAAAAAAGGATGACGGCCACCAGTTACACACATGTCTTCATCTCGATCCATAACCAATCTTACTGGTCTTCGTGTTTTCATAGCAGCGAGAGCCACGTAACCAGCAAACTTTCTTGGTGGTGTTTCCTTACCACCAAAAGCACCTCCAACTTGTTTTACTTTGATAGCAATCTTGTTTTGATCAATTCCTAATAACTTTGAAACACCTAGAGATACTCCATTGTGGTCCTGGGAAGTACAATAAATGTTTAATTCTTGACCTTGGGTAGGTACCACAAGAAACGCATGTGGTTCCATATAAAAATGTTCTTGGTAACCAGTTCTTGCTTCGCCAGAAATAACATGATTGCATTCAGCCATTTTACTAGCTGCATTACCATAATGAATTTTTGCTTTGAAAGAAAACGATTTTGCTTCGATTGCTTGATCAATTGTAACAATTGGTGTAAGTTCTTCGTAAATTACTTTAACAAGTCTTGCAGCTCTCTGAGCGGATTGTTGGTCAGTGGCAAGAATTGCCCCCAATACTTGATATTGGCTGGTGATTAGGTCCCGCCGAATATATTCTTCGTCTTCAAGCCATCCAGCTGCGTTACGATTCGCTGGTATATCTTTTGCTAAAATGATATCTACAACATTTGGGGACATCAGTGCTGTGGATACATCAATAGAAATAATTTTAGCATGAGACACTTTGGAATAAATCATCGCCATTTGCAATTCATTGTTATAAATTGGCATATCATCTGTGTAAACTGCTTCTCCTGTGGCTTGATTCAAAGCATTTGAGTGAACAATTGTTAGTTGCTTTGAAATGTTGAGATATGTACGGAAAAAGAAACTCATTGCTAGTGATAGTCTATAAGAGACCATTCCACCTGGAGCATTTTCGGACAGTGGCAGATCATTTAATAGTAATTGGTATGCTTTTTCCAACATTGTCTCGTCCCATTTTTGTCCAATCAATTGTTTGGTGCTTTTTGTAAGTTTGGTAATTGGAGCCATTCCACCAAAAGCTACATTAATGTCTTCAACTTTATAATCTGCTTCTTCAGAAAACAAAACATTTATGGCACCGTTAACAATAGCAATATCATCCTCTCTTCTGCGAGATTGTTTATGGGCATAAACAAATTGATTTTTAGAAGTGTAAGGTATTTCAATGGCTTCTAAGATTTCATTTGAGTTTACAATGGTTGTTCTGTACCCAGTATAGAAATTTTCATCCATCTTGACAATACGGGGACCCATGACGCTATTAAGATGCAAACGTGCTCCAATCGCCATCCAAATTGGATTTAAATCGGAGATAGGACTTCCAGTCATGATATTACCACCAAGTGACCCTACACTACGGATTTGTTTTCCAGCGAACCAATGTAACTTCTCCACTACTGTTTTGCAAATTCGAGTTTCCCATTCTGGCCGCGTTTTAATTATATCTTTGAAAGTAGATTCTATTTCATCTAAAGTTACTGCTGCTCCAATACGTATAGTCTCTCTTCCAACATCAATTTGAGTGAGTTCTTTTACCAATGTTGGTTGGATGAATGTAGCATACAATTGACCTTTAAACTTTACTTCAACACCAACTTCAGTATTTCCAACAATTATTTTAGCGCCAGGATACTTTTCAACTAACAAAAGTAGTTTTTCTAATGTAGTAGGTCTGAACCAAGAAACATTATCTCCTCTAAACACTAATGATTGGGTATCGTACGCATCAGATAATTTTAGTTCTGGTGGAAAAATTGGTTCTTGAGATCTGTCATACGGTATAAATTTACTTGATTCGAACATTTTATCGCTTTCTACTCCATTGGTATCATTTAACATTTTACAACATTTATCACCCATAGCACAACCATTTTGCTTATCAACCCCACTAATCTTACCGTTGATTCCATTAGAAACATGCACCTGTTCCCAATCTTCAGTAAATGTTTTGTAGCCTTCTATAATAGGTCTGTACCCGGTGCATCTGCAAAGATTTCCTTGGAAGGCCACGTTCATGTCTTCCATCATAGGTCTCTCATGGTTTCTTATCAGAGTATACATAGACATGACAATACCAGGGGTACAAAAACCACATTGGGAACCATGTGCCTTTGCAATACGTTCCTGTACCGGATGTAACTTAGTAATGGTAGATCCTATTCCTTCTACTGTCGTCACAGCTAACCCATGCATAGAGCATACTGGCGCCAAACATGCGTTTACCGGATAATGTCTGTTAAAGCGAAAAAGAATAACTAATACTCAAAAATTTTTAAGATTTTAAATTATCTTACTTGACTTTTAGAGCGTTCCGGTCGTACTTGGATATCATAACTGTGCATGCTCCGCAGCCTCCTTCTCCACATCCTAATTTTGTACCACATAATGATACTAATTATCAAATATTAAGAAAATTATAATTGCATTAATGATTGTTATTTGAGATGGTTAATTTTATAAAAGGATACATTTGTTTCTGAGGTACATTAACAACGTCCACTCCGGGTTAACATTTTTTTCAACAATCTAAAATATTTTTTGTTCACAAGTTATTTTTTAAGTTATTATTTTTGAATTTAAAGTATATTGCTTACTTTCTTCCCATTTACATAAAACACCAGATCTACTTTTTCTTCGTCTTGTCTCATATTACATTAAGTTCTTCTACACATCTATAGATACATCGAAAATTAGAGCTGTATTCAGAGCCAATTCTTAATTCGGGTATATATAGGAACTAACATTTATGACCATCACGGGTTCCAAAATGATATAATTCCACATGATTTATAGTTTGTTTGAAAGCTCTTAAACAAATTTTACTGTACAGTTTGCAAAGGCTGAACGTAATGACGTTCTTTCCGACAATTTAAGTAATGATTTAGAAGCTGGTTGGTAAATTTTAAACCATATTTACATTTTTTGTCCTATTAAGTTATGATAAACAAGCACCATTTAAACACATTTCTGCATAATTAGCTATAAATTATGAAAACTAGCTTTACATACAGAGTACTTAGTTTTTTTTGTATTGTCTTACCAAATATCTTGACAAATAAAGATAAAGGAATTCTGGGATCAAGAAGTTGACGTAAATAAAGTGTAATTTAATTTGATTATAACAACGAAATCAAACAAGATTATTTATAATTTCTTTTAGATTACATAATTTTCTTTACACTAATACTTTAACACTACAAATACAGTATTCACCCAGTAAATTTCACATAATTAAGCGTCAATAAAACTCTAGAATGGTGCACAATTACGTGCGGAACGTAACTGTAACTATTTTATGCACAAAAATAAATTGCATTAGCAAATACATAATAATATATTAAGAGTCAAATGACTAAACGGGAGTTTTATTCACGTGTGTGTTTAAGAAAGTTTAGCCACGTGCTGTTTTCACTATTTTTTTCACTCTATTTCTACGTTGTGGTTTTTGTCTTTGAACTTTTGTATTTCAAATCGTCGAAATTCGCTCGCACACTACTGGGAAACGTAAGGTAATAAATGCCGTGGCACGTCGACCAGCAGCAGCAGCGGCTGCTATACGAGTATACTCTAGCAGCAGCAGCGCCTTCATACGGTCAGGTGCGGTGAGCAAATACACAGGCGCATGCTCCGCCCCGTGAATAACGCCCGTGAGTAAAGTACTTTACTCACGACCCTGGTCGTCCGTTTTTAACATGTTGACGACGGCGCGGTTTTTGAGTCTCCGCCGCATCGGGCGGCGTTTGAGCATTATCACCTCCGTCTAATTACTTCAGCTGTGCGCCACTGGTGGTTATGCATTGCTATAGCAAAAAGCGATTGTTCTTTCAGGTGAGTCCGATCGAAACTTCGTGCGAACTGAGAAAGCAAAAACGAAATTGAAGCCGAAACTAAATTTCTTGGCCGAAACTGAAATTTCGGTCGGTCACTATTTATTATAATGTGTAATCCGAGTGACACATTTGGTGACAAAGATGCAAGGCCCTGATTCTTTAGGTGAGGCGAGAAGCAGATACGAGTATAACCTAACGTAGTCAAAAATGAATAAGCTTCGTTTCAAGTGAGCCGTGTACCACTGGTGGTACACGCCGTCGTGAACGTGTTAAAATGCCATTATTGTGTCTAAAAACCGTGGAAAAATGGCACTTTAAACATAGAACTAAAAAACTATATTAAAGGTGCTCTACTCTCCAGGTAGATTTGATCGGATCAACCTGTAAAAATAAATGTTAATTTTATTTTGTAATAAAATATATATTATTCAGATTACGAACTTTTTTAGTTAAGTGATCTTCACAAGCCATTCTAATTCGTTCCGCTGTTGCAGGCGCATTCAACCGGAAGTTCTCCTCGATGCCATTTTCTTTACGAGCCGCTTTGATTGCCTCCCTTATAGCAAAAATAGCCGACGACGCTAAAATCAACGGTGGTTCTCCAACGGCTTTTGATGAATAAACAGCTTTTGGATTTGAAGAATTTGCTAATAATGCAACGTTAAATTCAATAGGAATATCTCCAAAACCTGGAATTTTATAAGCTCCTGGTCCCTTAGTTAAAAAGGTACCATCTGGTGAAACAACCATTTCCTCCATTACGTACATTCCATAACCCTGTATAAATCCTCCTTCAATTTGACCAATATCAATGGCGGGATTAAGACTGTTGCCAACGTCCATGACAATATCAGTTCTCAGAATTTTATGATCTCCAGTCAAACAATCAATCTCTACTTCTGTTACAGAAGCTCCAAAAGAGTAGTAATTATGAAGCTTGTCCCCAGTTTTAGTAAACCAATCAAAGTTAACAGGTGGTTCACAATAAAATCCAGTAGCTGAAAGACTTATGCGTTGATCAAAAGCTGTTTGAATCCATTTCTCCCAATGGTCATTTGGGTTCTTAGATTTGATTGGTTCTAGACGTTCGTTAATTTTTTCACATGCGTTTTTCACCGCCATTCCATTTAAATCAGAAGAAACACTTGCAGCAGTCGGAATGGTGTTAGGCACTTTATCAGTGCTCACTTCGCTCGTGTGAATCATATCAATAGGTATGCCAAGAACTTTACTGGCAACCTGTATCATTTTAGTGTGTAATCCTTGGCCCATTTCTACTCCACCGTGAGTTAATAACACAGAGCCATCTTTGTAAATTAAAACCAGAGCACCAGCTTGCTGAAAGCTGTCGTACCCATAACCAATACCATATGTGGTGGTAACTATATCAATACCACGTTTTCTCCAACGGTTCACTTTGTTATATTCCTCGATCTCCTGTTTTCTTTTGTAAAAGTCGGAGTTAACAAGAACTTCTTCAAAACATCTTCGAATATTGCAATTGATTATCGGCTGATTATATATTGTACGATCACCTTCATTATACATGTTAATTCTTGCAATTTCAATCAAATCCTTCTTCAGGTATTCAGCAACGTCGCGGATCATACACTCCGCAGCAAAATTGGTTTGAGGATTACCAAACCCACGAAAAGATGTGTTTGTTGGTAGATTTGTTTTACATATTTTTCCAACAACATCAACATTTGGAATGCACATAGAGTTGGTGCAATGAGAAAGTCCATGGGCCATTACCCAAAATGATTGATCAGCGGAATGACCAGCATTCAGATATGATTCCACTGTTACAGCATGAATCCTACCATTATCGTCAAATCCCAGTTTATACTTAACCAAGAATGGATTACGTCCACCTGTCCCCGCCATATCCTCATCTCTTTCCAGGACTAATCTAACAGGTCTTTTTGTTTTCTTTGCAGCGAGAGCTACGTATCCTGCATATTTCCTTCCCACCATTTCTTTGCCCCCAAACGCCCCTCCAACTCTTTTAACTTTCACGACAATTTTATGTTGTTTTATTCCCAGTAACTTTGCAAGAATCTCTTGAGTCTGCGCATGTTCCTGATTTGCACAATAAATTTCAATTTCTTCAGCTTCTCTTGGTACTGCTAGGTAAGCATGAGGTTCCATGTAAAAATGTTCTTGATAACCAGTTCGTGCTTCACCTGAAAGTATATGTTTGCAGTTGCTAAAGGTTTTTGCAACATCACCGCGGTCCAATTTTGCTTCAAATGTAAACATTGAATTATTTTCAATGGCTTCTTCAATGGTTATGATGGGTTTTAATTCTTCATAAGTTACATTGACAAAATTGACAGCTTTTCTCGCTGAAAGGAGATCGGTTGCTAAAATGCCTCCTAAGACTTGATATTGACTGGTTACCAAGTTGGCACGAAAATATTCTTCATCGCCAAAAATCCCACATATATTAAGACCTTCTGGGATGTCTTCAGGGAGTACGTAATCAATCACATTTGGATGTTTTAGTGCGTTGCTGATATCTACTGACAGAATTTTAGCATGCGCTTTTTTGGTATAGATCAGAGCCAATTGTAATTCATGTTCGTATCTGGGCATATCATCAGTATAAACTGCTTCTCCGGTTGCCTGATTCAAGGCATTAGTGTGAACAATTGGACGACCAATTGGATCCGATCCAAGTTGATTTTTATCAACTGGAAAATACTGACTGCTTTTTGGTGTTTTTGGAGTAAATTTATCCAACGCGCTAAGATTTCTTGAATCTATGCAATGATTTAATTGTTTGGAAATGTTAAGATAAGTGCGGAAAAATAAACTCATTGCAAGAGAACGTCGATAAGCGACCATACCACCTGGAGCTGCTTCAGACAATTGAAGATCATCCAAAAGCAATTGATATGCATTTTCTAACATCTTTTCTTCCCACCTTTGTCCAATTAATTGTTTGATTTTCTTAGACAAGATGGTGGTTGCCGCCATTCCACCAAAAGCAATGTTGATATCTTCAATTTTATATTCTGGAGATTTAGAAATACAGACATTTACAGCGCAGTTTACAATTGCAATGTCATCATCTCGTCTACGAGACTGTTTATGTGCAAAAACATATTGATTTTGATGGGTAAATGGTATTTCTATGGCTTGCAAAATTTCACCAGGATTGACAATTGTTTTCCGATATCCTGTATAAAAATGTTCATCCATAAGAACAGTTCGAGTGCCAGAAACACTACATAAATGCAAACGTGCTCCAATTGCCATCCAAATTGGATTGAGATCAGAAATTGGACTTCCAGTCATGATATTACCACCAATTGAAGCAACACTTCGAATTTGTTTACCGGCAAACCAATGCAGCATTTCTACAACTGCTTGGCAAATTCGTGTTTCCCATTCTGGCTTAGTTTTTATGACAGTTTTAAAAGTAGATTCGATTTTATCTAAAGTGACAGCAGCACCAATTGATATACCATGAGTAGTAACTTCAATCTGGGAAAGTTCCTTAACATGCGACGGATAAATCAATACTGGATAGAGTTGCCCTTTAAACTTAACTTCCACTCCAACTTCGGTGTTACCTCCAATTATTTTGGCGGTAGGATATTTTTGTGTTAATTGAAGAAGTTCATCCATTGATGTTGGTTTATACCAAGTGACATTATTTCCTTTGAAGACCAAAGACTGCATGTCATAAACAGTTGTTAATTTTAACTCTGGCGGAAATATTGGTTCTTGGGATTTGTCATATGGTACAAATTTGCTTGGCACAAACAATTTATTATCATCACTTGGTTGCAATTTGCAACATTTATCACCCATGGCACACCCATTTAAACCATTAACTTTACCGTTGCTTATCTCATTGGTAGCTTGCATCACTTCCCAATCTTCAGTAAATGTTTTGTACCCTTCAATAATAGGTCTGTAACCGGTACATCTGCAAAGATTTCCTTGGAAAGTCACATCTAAGTCTTCCATTTTTGGCTTTCCTTGGTTTCTCAAAAGTGTATACATAGACATAACAATCCCAGGTGTACAGAATCCACATTGTGAGCCATGTGCCTTGGCAATACGTTCCTGTACCGGATGTAGCTTAGTTTTAGTTGATCCAATACCCTCCACTGTGGTCACAGCTAATCCATGCATCGAGCATACCGGTGCTAAGCAAGCATTTACTGGATAATGGCTACAAAATAAATAAATAACTAAAAAACAAAACTACACACCTAGCTTACATAATTTCCTGCGTATTTCGATCGTATTTGGACACCATAACAGTACAAGCACCGCATCCACCTTCCCCGCATCCCAATTTCGTTCCACATAGTGAGACTAATCGTTTAAAAATAGGAAATTACTTTTTTGAATCACATTGATTGATGTTGTAATTAAACCACTCCTTCACTAACATGTAACAAAGTAGCTATATTGCGTGACTACACATAATTGCACCAATTGTTATTTGTTATCGTTATTACAAAGGATACGTTTGTTTCTTAAATATACCAATAATGTCCATTCGGGATTAACGACGTTCTCGATAATCTAAAATAAAAGAATCGTTATTTTATAAATTAAAAACAAAAACATATAAAATTTACCTTTTTGCCATTGACATAAAATACTAAAGTTTCACTTTCCCGATTCCTTTGTTTCATGAAAGCCATGATCGTTCACTACTGGCAAATGCAACTGATAAATTAATTATTTATCAGCAATGGAAAATAACGAATATTTACTTTAGTTTCTTAAAGTAAATTTATTTTAGATATGGTTTATGAATTTATGATTTTATTTTGAGGTATATTTGAGTATGTATGTAAAACTATCGCAATAATGTAAATTAGAATGTGGAATCTAGTTCGGTGCTTAGTTAACTGCGCAAGAGCAGAAGTTGTTCCGACCTACTCGAATGTTGTTTTGCGACTGAGCTGAACAGAATCGGTGCTTGTAATGTGATCTAAAGTTTTTACTTCCACAAAAACTATATAAACCTGTTTCAATTGTTAATTGAAATCGTGACACACTATTTTTTATAATCCCTGTGAAGTTTTCTATAATGTTTATTTGATTTTTTACATTTTACATTTAGTTTAAAAACAATTATAAAAAAATATTATGCTATATTATTATGCTATTGGCCTCTATTTTGATGTTAAAACTACAAATTTAAGTTCGGATAATGACAAATATACGATTAGATACGAATGCACCTGATAACAAACTTAATTGCATAGTCTACTCTATGTTTACAGATTTATGTAATTGTCATACTACAAAAAACGCAGCTTTGAAGACTATTAAAATTTACTGAGCAGAACTTTATTAATCAACAATTTCACAACACAAATAGGTAACTAATATTATTGATTTTTATTGCGTATTTAGAATTTTAATAAAAATATTTAATTAATTAAATTATTATATTTCTTAATTTTTTACAGGTTTTATGTAACAAGCAATAACATTTCAATGATATTACGAGTACAAAGCATCCTATGTACTTAGATGCGCTCGTGCTCTTGTAATTTGACTAAATCAGCCGATTTCTCCCAGAGAGCCTCGGCGAACGTCATATCTTTACAGCTGTCGTACATTTCAATTTCCTTGCACTCAGCATAAAGTTTTCCGGAGTCATTTTCGCATTCTTTTGCCACTGAGCAGTAAATACTGGTTTGGGCACCTTCTTCCGCCGTCTAGATGAAAATTATAAGAATAAAAAGTTTTAAACAACATCGCAATTACCTTATAAATAAATTTCATCATAGGAATCCAAACTAACAGAAACCATTTAGGTAGATGGCGCCAAATATCAGTGTAAATGGCCCCCGGATGTAAAGCATACACGTGCACTTTAGTATCCTTTAGACGCTTTGCCAACTCACGTGTGAAAAGAATATTACACTGCTTTGTCCAAGAATATACCATCGATTCGTTGCATGTATTTACTGTTTCTAAACTTACGTTTGATAATTTTCCCATGATGGACGCCACGTTTACAACACGACATGGCCCTGATTTCTTCAATTTTTCTAAAAACAAATAAAAATTAATCTTCAAAGTTTTATCAATTTTTTTTCCTGCTGACTTACCGACTAATAACACAGTTAACAAATACGGCGAGAAATAGTTTGTTTGCCAGACACCATCTAGGCCATCTTCTGTCAGTCCAGGTTTAAGACCAGCCGCACCCGCATTATTTAACAAAACGTCAATTTTCTCCACTGTTTTGTTAACATCAGCACAGAACTCACGAATAGATTTCAGTGACCGGAAGTCGACTAATTTTATGGAAATGTTTGGGTTGCCGGACTTTTTGATAATTGAGTCTTTTGCTTCATTAGCTTTCCTTTCGTTTCTACATGCCAGGATAACATTTGCGCCTCGCTTAGCAAAATCTAATGCAGAATAATATCCAATACCTATAATAAACACACATAATAACATTAGGTAATACAATATTAATAAAGTTAAAATGTCTTTTCAATTACCTGTATTAGCGCCAGTTACGATGACAGTCTTACCAACCATACATGTGTAACTTTTGCAAGGGTTTGCCAACGTCTTGATCCAAAACCGGAAGAAGACGAGAACAGCGCCAACAAATACCACAAAATAAAATAATACACCGCACAAACTGCACAACATTTTTACAGCCTTTTGAATCTTCCACAAATTTTAGTAATGTAACATAATATTTAGCTTACTACTTAATACTAGTCTACGTGTTATCCAATATCCGATTAAAAGTCGTCTAATCAAGCACTTGGTACTTTAAACCGCGACAGTGATAACGACGAGACGTGCTTTTTCATAAATTATAAAGGTTATGAGAATTTGAATCAGTATACTCGTATTGCCATTGTATTGAAATTAAGATAAAAATAACTTGGATTAATCGTATTTACGCGGTGGGTAATGTATATTTATAGTTAAACTTCACAAGCGATTTCAGTGTGTTGTATGTTTACTGCATATACCAATTTAACTAATTAGCTGTGTTGCGTTGTAATACTTGTACCATATATTTAAATGTTTTGTTTTTGTTGTAATGCTCTTATCAGTTAAAGTAACACTGATTATCGTCGCTGTATGTTGATATAAACGTTAGTCAGTTGAAGTGCAGGTTGGCTGACAGTCGTCTTAACCGATCAATAACAAACCGCATTATATATGCTTTATAATGCTCTACTGTATTTATTTTACACTTTTATTTAACAAGTGCGCTCTAATGCTTTCTCAGTAGCCTGCGTATTTTTGACAGATCGAACTTTTTCTTATAAATTATTTTGGGTCGAATAATAGGGCCGCGATTTATTTATGTCTAAAAGCTGGTATCAATTGTTAAATCTTATTGAAATTTTAGCCCATTAGTATTTGTATATAATACTTATATAACTACGATCTATTAAACCGTTAGTCATATTACAATAGTATTAAGTATCAAGTGGCTAAACGAGGGCTTTACTCACGAGATTAAGAGAGAGCGAGAGTAGCGAGCGTTAAATCAATCAATTTCTACTTCCACTCCATTTCCACGTTTAGATTTTGTATTTGAACTTTTTAGATAAAGTACTTTACTCACGTACTTACTTTTTGTGTCTAAAAACCGTGGAAGTAGAAAAATGACATTTTATATCGTAATTATACAAATTATTAAAGATTAATTATACCATGGAATTGAAAAGCATTTGATTACTTTATCTACACAACATTTTATTTAATAGCACTAATTCCCTGTAGATGCATTTAAGTAAAACGTCAACTTCTAACAATACTTAATTACCAATTATCTCAGAGGTCAGCAAAAACCCAAATCAGGGATAAGTTTATACTAAAATTCTATATCAGATAAGTTTTTTAAATTGCAGGGAGTTACACTTGATTATTCTTTGGCTAAAACATTAAATTTGAAGCTAGCGAAAGGTAAAATACGTCTTTGGATTGAGAATTACAATGCGGTGAAAGATATCCAATCAGTCAGAACATGGATACTGATCAAATTAAACCTCCGAATTATAACTCCGATTTTCTTTAAAATTTGAAGATTGATGTAGCATGATACAAAAAATTTGTTTGTACTATATTTGTTGCAATAGTTTTATTGGTTTTTGAGTCATAAACCATTTTCAATTATTACATAAGAGTGGAGAGTTTGGAAAATTAATGTTATTATACCCAAAATACGCATCAAAAACAGTTTTACTATACACGTAGCTATATTGCTTTGCAAGAAAAATGCGAAAAACTAGAATATTTATTTTCTCCATCGTTATTTATAAAAAAATCAATAACTGAAATGTACACTTTTAGGGCATATTCCTCAAATAGATGATATTTTGAATCATTTATGTTAGTAGCATTGTGTTGGCCCAGAGATGGAGCAGCTATTCACTATGAAACTTGTTGCGCTGTTTTTGTTTACATGTCAGCCGTGCAAAGACGGCAATTTGGTTGGAAAACCTTGAAATCCGTCAAAATAAATTGGATTTATCAAAAATTTGCCGAAAAATAGGTGCACTGTGATCCGAATATTAATATTATGAGTGATTAGTTAGGTCGTGATTATACCGTACATCGGATAGTTATAAAAATGTATAAGTTATTTCTAATTTTAGTGATATTCTCTGTGAAACATTCTGTCAGTCGTAAGCATTAAACAACAACATATTGAACATTAACACATATTCTCTTTTTATGAATTTTGATCAGAAACTAATGAAGAGTGGACTGGACGTTGGTTTCCTACAGATCCAATGATACAACGTGAAGCACATGGCGGAATTCCAATGGGTGAAATTGAAAATTGTGATGATGGCAAAGTAATATTCATTAGTTTCCAACATAAAGATGAATAAAGATTAATAAAGTTTTTTGCAACAAATGTTTTAGACTCACTTAGATGTTGATTATGCTGGAACTCCCGAACAATATACATGCTTTGGAAACAGATTGTTGTACTTGCCAAATCCAGAAATTCATCCAGTATTAGAACATGATCACATTCCAAAAGCATATAGTGTAAGTTTTTACCAACCAATAAAACAAAAAATGTTTATAATTTACCTTTTTAGGCACCACATTACTGTATGAATGAAACAATCACCTACAAACGTACAATTCCTAGTTTGTAAGTGAGAAATATTAAAATTGATCAAAGTTGAATAACAGTATTAAGTTTTACTATCCATTTTTATTTTATTTATATTTCAGTGGTGGGCATAGACCTGTTTGGCCTCAGTATGGTGAATACAACTACTTACCAACTCAGCGATGGCTGCACAGTTTGGAACATGGAGCAGTAGTTATGTTGTATCATCCCTGTGCAAACTACAATGAAGTAGTACATTTGAAAGATATCGTTCGTAATTGCATGTATAGACACATCATCACCGCCAGCAATGACTTACATCAGGACAGGGTAGGTTTACAATATAACTGAGACAAACTTAGTAAACTAAAAATAACTCATGTTTTCTCTGTAGCCATTAGCGTTGTTAACATGGGGAAACCGAATGTTTATGTCGAAATTTGATGCGCCCATTGCCGTCAAATTTATCTCGACTTACGCTAACCGAGCACCGGAAACGACAACGAAAAATGGCGGATATTCGATGGGGTTGACCCAACCAGCAAAGAAAGTCTCAAATGAGAAAGATAACAAGATCTGTGAGAAGTTTACACAGATTTATTCCCTATAAATGCATCTATGTGCTTAATTATACCTATTTGCTTGAGCCGAAAGCATCAAAAGTATATCAAACATTCAATAAGATTATCCAAAGTATTATATATGTGTGACTATGAAACTGAAATAAACAGTGAAAATTCATGGGCGTTTAAAGTTGTCACCCACAAGGTATAATGGATCAATTTGTGGAATGGAGTTGAAATTTTATAGGTAAACTTTTAACAAGATCATTAAAACATAGATTCTCAATTAATTATTGGAAGATGATATAATTTAAACTTCCACTTTCAAATGTATATTATATAGATTTTTAAATGAATCACCTAATATACAATATAGGTACAATTTTTTGCTCGGCGACACGAAGCGACACTGCAACTCAAGTCCGAATCGTCATCATTCACAATTCGCCACAATGAATACAATATAATAATGATAATATTCCACATGTTTCGATTATGTCTGCTATGTTGCATTTTCGCTGTTAGCTTCCTTAATGCTTTGCTATTCCTTTCCCAACTGTCAGTTGTGATGTGTTAGTTTGTTTATAGATACAATGTAACTTTACATTTAGGTTAAGTTTTTTGGTTAGGTTTAGGTTGTTAGGTGTACACAGAGCGAAGAATACATTTATATTTATAGAGAGAGAGAGACAGAGAATTAATTACACGCATGTTTAGAAAAATGATATCCTCATCTCATATGTCATTTTATGTTCATCTTCATATTCACTTCGATTATTCGATAGTTTTTTTTAGTTAGTTAAGTACACATGCAATATATTCCTCTTTTGTTTTCATTTTGCTTCATTATTGTCTAATTTATATTAACATTTGTAGTACTTTAATAATATATATAACATCTTGTTGTGAGAGTAAATTAGCATAGTTTCTTTTGGGCCTCACTACCAACTAGTGTATTTACAAGACATAATACAATACAATACAAGGATGTGGGGTGTAGAAAGTGTTGCGACAATTCACAAGGATGTTTTAATTGAATGACTACAACTTACAGTTTCGATTAGGTTTGATAACCCACAACTCATAGTTTGCATTTTTTGAGTTTCAGTGTCGCCCGAGTCCAATTTTCTGCTGGATGAACGCCGATTTGTGTAAACGTGCACATTCATTAAAAGACTTATACAACAAGAGCGGACACAGACATTATGGGTGCAACTAAGTAATAGTTTTAGTTAGTTAGTTTTTTTTTTTGTAATTTCTTGTTGATTTTTTTTTGTGATTTTTTCGTGTTTTTTAGGTACTGGTAGGTACTTTTTTCCATTTTTCTCGAATCTAATTAGTAGTAGAAGAGGACACAACACACGAGTGAGGGGTTGTTGACGCGTGGCGTGCGTTGCCAATTATTTCCCGGTATCATTAGCAACTCAAATTGCAAACAAGCGGCCATCTTGTCAACGCCCGCGACGCTCACCAAAACGTTGAAATATTCCGCTTTCATATCTGTTATTCAATTGTTTGTGCTTTCAAATGTAAACGTAAACTTTGTTAGGATGGTCATTTTTGTTTTCGTTTCTCTTATGTTTTGGTTTTGAATCATTCGAAAAAGGACACATTCATGTTTTTCTTTTAAATCTTAAATCACAACTTGTGTTATGTTCATTTCGGAGATAATGACGCACGTTGTGTATACTACACAAACGAGACGTCATCATCGTGGAAATATTGCACCGATTAGTTTTTCATTTTAATAATAAGTAATATTGCCATATTTGTACAGTGTTGATATTTTTCCGTCTTCGCCCAATGTCTGACTCGCATACTCATCACATCCACCATCTTAGTCAACATTGTCATACTTCAACTCTGTGCCTTCGTTTGATTTCAAACTTCAAACTCTCAACTACTTCATGCTCTGTCTTACCTCATTACACTTTATATATCATATATTTTTCTAACTTTATATTTAAATATTAATTTTATAATGATAAAAAGTTTCTGCACTACAATAATATCTCACTTTGTCGCATCAACACACAGAGATGCAAGAAAAATGTTTAAATGTTACATTTAACCTTTTGTTATCTTGTTCAGGCTTGTTCGCACATCCTTTTTTGTATGTTTTCGTTTTTTTACTCATCTCTTAACGCTATATTTATAGCGCACAATGTATGCGATCAAAAGTACGCCATGACACTCCCAATCGCATACAGCACGCCCGCGGTGTGTTTTACATGTTTCTTACTTGATTTCTTCCAATTGACACTTAAGTTATGAATTGATGACTTTGTTTGCCTTAGCTTAATTTGTATAGCTTAATAAATTTACTTAATAAGTTTACTTTGAATCTTATGGTGTTGGTGGTGCTACTTAAATCCTACGCACTGTCACGACGACATAATCCAAAACACAAACGTTTAAAGAAACAAATAAACGCTACACACACATTATACAATACTAAATTAATAACATATAAACAAATCGTTAACTCTTCCTTGATAATACATGACTACAAATCGCTAAATTAACGCTAACAAGATGCAGTATAAAATTATCTAAACGTTACACAAATATATCTCGTATATTTTTTTTATCAACTTCTCATTATTTTAGTTTCCATTTCGCTATCGTCCAACCTTTAAGTCAGGTTAGCACAAACTACATTTGTAATCAAAATGATGTGAATGAGATCCATTTGAAAGCTTCGTTATAATCGACGAAAACAAAAGTAGTTTACATTTACGTTGAGACTGTTTACAACTTTGTTTCTTTGTGTAGCGCGTGTGTTGTGTGGCATTCGTCACATCAAAGTGTAAGCGCAGCGCGCATGCACGCAAATTAAATTCGAAAAAGCCGGAAGACAAGGATATGAATGTGTTTCATCGTGGATTCGTGTACGGATAGGTATAGGAACGCCGTGGTCGGTCTTCTCTGGCCAGCAGAGAATACCATCGCACGCCCTTACGTGTGTGACTATATTACATTTACAGTTTTCGATTGTTTTGCAAAAGAAAGTCCAAAGAAATGAAAAGAAATTAAACACAATCATTTTAATTTGCGTTTCGACAAGATTTCGAAATTTCCGGCCAAAATTTCGAAACTTACGAAACAACGTGTAGTAAAAAACATCTAACCTCAACTCCGTGAGAGGTTATGAAGACGCGACGGCAGCTTCAAACATGTCGCGTAAATCTAAGCGTTAATCTTACTTTAAATACAAGGGTTTCGTCCTATATAAATGACTCTAATGTTAAGATACTTGCTTTACGATCGATATAATTGATTAATACTGCGCTTATTAAACGTTAATCGTGATAATTCGTGCGATTTGTCTTCTCACTACAAGCGTTTTTTTTTTCTGCAATTTGTTTAGGTTAATTTCCGACATTCCGTGTGGTAAGAACTTTATTTACTTTAACTCGATGTTGCTTTCCGTTACTTGTCAGTTATTGATCCGTTATTTACGCGCGCCGCCATTTTGAAATTGTCGCGATCAAAGTTCTTTCACTCTATAATACAACTATGTTCGTTACAATAGAATATTAATTACTTAATTATTTCGTTTACTACGCGTCTTACGCGACTGCTTCTTTGTTTACGAAGTTAAATGTATCTTACTTTTGGTTAGCAAAAATTCAAGCACTAAATCGTTTTTAGGTTGTTAACTTCATCTCGGTTTGAAGCCGCCGCACGATTAACCTAGAATTCTAACCTAAAATTCGATTGAAAAGCATGCCCAGCTCGATTCAACACAACAAAAGGTGACGCCTTTCAGCGGACGAATTTCCAAACAAAATGGCAATCTTGAATCACAAAACAAACATCGCATTTTTATTGAGAAATTCATTATTATCCAATAAACGCATCAAAATAATGAGTAAAAGTAATAAAAACGTGTTTTATTCGTGTATTTATTGCATCATTCACTGTAGTATAATGTGTTGATGTTCAATTGTTTATATTTGTTGGTGTAAACATTAAATTCTCACTTCTAGCTAATCAAAAACTGCATATATGCTCATTATGTGGAATGTTTTTCTCTTCTTTTCTTCAACTATTGAAACTATTGGAATATTTCGTCTTTTATTATGGTTTATGTTAATTAGATTTAATTGTTAAACGTACTTCAATGAAAACATATTAGGCCTCTCGCTCTCTTGATCATTCTCGAAAATAGCTACTGATTGTGCACCTCTCTATGTCCAACGATTTTCATTTGTTCTCGCTAATTGTTTATTCATGTGTTTATCTTAATTATTAAGTTTACAGGTAATGATACAAATTAATTGAATCGATGCGGCAATAAGAATTTCCGTCTTTTTTCAATTTGCATTAATCCATTAATCTGACACTATTTGTAATGGTGTAGGCTAAACATCCCACTGCTCGAATCCATTAACCTTACTTGATCTCAAACCTTAACCTTAACTCATCAACCAAACGGAAAATGTTTCGTTTTAGTAAACTTGTTTTATATTACGTGCTCGTTATCCTATGCTTCCTTGTTATGTACAACTAACGTGAGATAAATTTTCTTTTTATCCGAAACAAAGATTAAACGTTTTTTAAAAGTTTCACTAAGCAAATCTAACACACTACAACTACCTGCCGATATACTCTATGTTCATATAATATATCTAATAAAGGTAAAAATCACACATTTTGAACCACCATTAGCGCACAACTCAAGTAAGGACAAACAGAAATCGTATTACTTAAGTATAATTAGAGTTACCAATCTTTCTATACGCCATTTTGTTTTCCATCATCTCTCGTTTCCCAGCTAAATCTAAATCTTTCTGCATCCTCTCCCTGCCTGCCTAATAAACTCGTCGTCAAAAGATTTATCGTTAACATTCAGTAATGATAATGTTAGTAATAATATTATTGCTACAGCAAATGTGTGTGTTTGCAAATGTTTATAATATTAATGTATATCCATCGTTAAACTACAAATCGTTTGCTGCTTCCGAAAGCACAACGTTAACGTTCTTGTCATTGGTTTGTTTCTCAATAATTGAATTCAAACAAACGCGTAGTCGTCGTAATTAATGTTAGCTTATGTTCACTGCTCGCTTGATGCTCTTGTTGCTTAATCACGCATTCAATAAATTCAATACGCCATTAATTAAGTAATATATAATCAATTGTTAAAATTATTCGCCGCGTCGACGCTAGCTAACACTCTCGTTATCGCTTAATTAAACTGATTAGTGTTTTTGTTTGTATTGTAAGTTGTAAGCTAATATCGTTAATTAATTTAATTAATTAGTTATTAATTTATAGTTAATATTGTGATGATCGATCCCTCCTGCGTGTCAAACAAATTTCGCATTCCGTTTTTACTCCACGAATTCTAACTTCAAAACTGTTAAATCTCATCATGATCCGCTCAAATTGTCCTCGTTTAGTATTAATTAGACTAATAGTAATTAGAATTAGATTATACATGTTTATGAATGTACTCAACAGAAAGCCGTAATCAACATTTTTGTTTGGTAATTAACAACGAACAATGTGAACAATGCGATTGCAATTTTGTTTGCATATTTTTTAATTTTATTTGTGGCTGAATGTAATTTTTGTCAGCTTTCATCTTTATCTCAAAACGATGCAGTTAATCCTACCTGTCGCTTTTTGTTTGTTTGTAAATAAGCATATTTGTGTGGCTTGATCAGTTTTCGATTTTGATCGAATTACGAATTGTTGATGCTGAGATTCTACGTGCTGATTTTCCTTTGCTGATTTGCACTGTGAGGTCCGGTTGACTTGCGATGAGTTTGTTTTATCTATAAATGGGAATTGAAAATTTACATTTGCCTGAAACTTAAATTACTTTATCATAGGATACTTACATTTTTAAAGTCCAAAGTATGACCCAATGGTGCCAGCCAAGCAAATGCCCAGTACGGAGAGGCAAACCAAGATCATGATCTTCTTCTGCAGAATGCAACATACCAAAAAAGGTTACAAAAAGGCAATGTGTTGTTGCAAATTCAAAATGGCTACCCTCTACTACACAATATCATCTAACACCTTGGTCTTTCAAACTCTAGTTGCGCTTTCCTTTCTCATTTAAATAATCATCATCGAATTGCCAATAAAAGAAAACCAAATGGAATAAACGAATGCAAAATAAAAATTATAAAAAACACAAATTTATTTAATCGTAACTCCTCCAATAAACTGAATATTAAATAATAGTAAACATAAACGAATATAAATTAATTACACGCACACACAGGTTAGGTTATAATGTACAATCGATGATGCGTGATCATTACGCTGATCATAATCGCATAATTGGCGTAGTTACCACATTTTGTAAATCTCAAATAAAATGCGTTCATTACACCCCATCAGATTTTCTCACTGCATTTAACCTCAATTATGCTCTACCTAAAATTCACAAAGTTGGCGCTAACACAATACCCCTGCATCTAACTAGTCACTTGTTTTAATTTAATATAATCGTTTCACCTAATAATTTATCATTATAATTCGTATATTTTGTCAACACTCTTGTTCTGTTCAACTAGTAGGTTATGATCTATCTAATATATGAATTTATATCTCATTATATCATCAATTTTATAGTTTTTGTTTAAAGATTAGGTTATAATGTACATGTATGACAATTAGATAAATAATAACTTGGAACACACAAAAATATGTCTTTGGTTCATTAAACATTTTGTTCCTTCATAGTTAATCACCTTCAATATTCATGAAGATAAACTTTTTTCAGTTTCGATAACCGCAGGAACAATAAATTTACATTACTGTCCATTTCATACACATGTAGATATTCTAAATATGTTGCAGTGATGTATTATAGTTTTGTCATTAACTCAGTTCAACAGAAAACGAATCTATGAGATAAGTTTTTAACAGATCTACGCAATTGTTTTTATCTCCATAATATGGTGCTATTACGTTGCGCTGAGTATGTTTCGCTTTTAAACTTATTCAGGTTATGCAATACAATGTGACATAACCAAATATATAACTTATAAAAATGGTAATACATTGGTATATTGACAGTTGAAAAACTTAACCATTTTTACGTTAGTAAATCCACACTCGCTTACAAACCTAGATTGAATCGCATAATTAAATTAAAATTATCTAAATAAGTTTAATTATATATCATACGTATTGCAAATGTGTCTATACAATATTTACAAAAAAGTTTATCAACGCTAAATTCACTTCAATCAAATCTCATTTATCATTGACAGTATTTTTAATCCCATGTTGTTTGAATTTTATCCTCCATATTGTATTTCGACGTTTTTACGTTTTCTAATGCATTCGTTTATTGCTTAGATATACGAATTGAACGACGCGGATGTGGATCTAACCTCGCCTATTAAAATTAAGTTTATTTTAAAACAATGACGTCATCCTGTGTCAATGGCATCCACAAAGATAACAAAAAAGTGCACCACAATGTCGTCATCTCCTTTGGGGTGTACAGCCATGCGACGACTTTCCGTTATTTAGATTTACTTTTTTTGTTTTTATTTGAATTTCAGTGGTTGGCAGCGATGAAACAAAAGTTGTTTGGTCCCACTACACACCCGAGTGAGTAATAAATTCCATAAGCTTTGCATTAATCCTAGTCCGCAGTGACACATCCTGTTCCGACGTTACAACAATTTTATTGATTTATTGTTCTCGTTCCGTTGTTCCTCTCATTATTTATTTTTTCAACACGTGCGTGTATTTTTTAGGTTGCCTACATTGCGCAGCACATGAGTAAGGGTGATATGTCGCCATTTTGTGCACTGTGTTCCATTTGACATTGGGATTGAAACGCAAGAGATAAGGTTAGTTGTTTGGCGGTGGTAGGTGGTATTTGTGGTTGTGAGGAATTTTATTTTTGTGATGTTCGCCACGTTGGTAGTTAAACACCCGGCAACAGGGTTGCTAAAATAACGATAAGTATGATGATGGCCACTGCCAAGCAGATAAAGATGAAGATCTTTTTCTGTGAACAAACAAAGTAAAAACAAAAATAAAATTTTATGTTGCGATTTGCAAGAGTTAAATAAAAATAAAACTTTGTTTAAAAATAAAAGTAATATTAAACTGACTAGAAGACTAGAAATTATAATTAATGAAAAGTAAAATTAAAACAAGGCAAAAACTCTTCACACAAACAACTCAATTTGTAGCTGACAAAAGCTAAACACACTCAAAACAAAACACTCAAACAAAGGAAATTATGACCAATTAAATGAATGATATTGAAGGCATTCAGCAATACACACATTAAAATCACGCTACGCCAGATAGGTGGCGATACTGCACATCAAACAAACACACAATGTGAACATAATGGCTGCGAGTGAGTGAAAATCAGAATAGCTACGACAAGAAAAACAGCAAATGCAGAAAAAATAATACATATAGTGTATGGATAAATATGTCTTGTGATTATGGTGATTTGTATTTAGGAATGATCTAGAATAAAAATGTTTCCTTTGCAAATAGTTTAACGATAGGAGTCCCCATTGTGAGCAAGTGTTCGCCCTTACCTTTCTCGCCTTGCTCTGATACTCTTTGGCAGCTTTGATTTGCAGCTTGCTCGATTCAATGTGATTTTGCGTCTGGCCAACGTGATACTCGACGCGATCGACCAGCTCGCCCTGATGCGTCGGTGGGCGTCAGGGGCCGCCATTTTGTGAGGACGGACGTGAGACAGAGATTTGCGGGGGATCGTGCGTGTTTGTGATACAAGCGAGTAAGATGACAAGATGACACCAGTACGAGTATAAATACAAATAGATACAGTAACACACCAACCATCAGTAGAGAGCGTCACCATTCAGCGGCGAGTAGGCGAGCCATAAGTGTCATCGTAAAGTTAGGTTATGTACATGTACAATTATTAGACATCCAGTTACATATTAGATTTATACACAGCACGCCAAGAGTGTTGAGTTGACATTCAGTTATAGAATATTAGAACATAACCAAGCACACAAAATATCCACACACCAGTAGATTATGATTGAGGTTAAGAGTAGTAATGACAGCAGCAAGTAGAGTTAGTTTTTTAGACCAAATCGTTGTGTAACGTTTTTAGAATATGTTATTCGTGACACCAAACACAACGAAAGCACACATCATATATAATAATACATAGTACATAGATTAGTAAATAAATAAATAAAAAGGGGGAGGATTTAGGTTAAATGTATAAAAATTTGTATAAAATTGATGTTTGAAAGGATAATGAATAGAAGTTGTTGGTAACAACATGGAACATAAAAAGAGAAACAAAAACAAATTAAAAGCGAGAAAACACTGTTCCTTATCACTAGAATTAAGTGAGGGCGTGCGGTCGTGGACCGACGATGGACTCACCCGTCGCGCTTTGCTCTGATATTTGAGGGCTTTCTTGGTATCTTGCGTCGCCGTCTGCACGTAGTCGACGGCGTGCTCTACATGGTATTCGATACGATCGATCATTTCGCCCTAATGCGAGGCGCGTGCAACAGAAGATGACAGACAGCCAAGGTGAAAGAGAAGAAAACATACCCCAATGTTAATTCAATTATTCAACCAATGCATTATTACAACCGACATGAACAAGTTAGATCATCTAAATTATCATTTCAAAAATAAATATCCCCTACATGCGTGATTAGTAACAAATACAGAATGTTTCAGATATTCACTTATAGAAACACTCTGTATTTAGGAAAATGTCCGAAAGCATTAGCGTCGCCTATCGGTGACTGAAAAGCACGTGCTTTCGTTTCGCAGGGTTTCACACACCACGATTTTATTCCCTGCGGGTATACATATATGTGTGTGGTAAGTGCACTCGCGGAATTAAGTGGAGTGCACATGACGTTACGATCGGTGATACCAAGTAGAGCATCTAGTAATTCCCGCGTACAAACGTGTACAACGAGCAATAAGTTGCCACGGATGGCATAGGTTTATGTCGACCGACAGCTAAAGTATTCATAATAATGTAAGCTATCATGTTTACACTTGCTTGCACTTGTCGGACGAATCGTTTTTGTAAAATAAATTCATACTCTCAGGTTGCTGATAGTTATTGGTCTAAAATTTTTAGTTAAACATTGGTTGGGAGTCATAGCAACTATCGCGGTGATTAACTATGGTGTAAACATGATTATGCATACAAGAAATATCTGAAAATATTATGTAATTGTAATAAATATTAGTTAGATGATACAAAGTATTTGGAAAAATATTATAAATGAATATACTTTGTATAATCTTTCTCTTTCATGAAAATAGATGCAAATATTAAAATTAAGTCGTACCTGATTTTCAACCAACATCGCCATGTCCATAAACATGTCATGCAACTCCCGGATGGACGTCTCCAGCTTGATGATGTCCGCGTGCCGCGCTTGAATATCAGCGAGCGTTTGTTTGGCTTGTTGCGTTTCCATGATAATCTAAATTCACCCCATAAATATTTATCAACAAAGTTGGGTCATTTGTGAGGACTAAAAAATGTTATGCTTACGCCCTGTGTGAAGACAGCTGGGTTGCCTTGTTCCAGCATCTCTTCAAGTTCTTCATTCGTCGTCTGTCTACCAGCTATTAATAAATAAATATATAGCTTAAAATGGTTTCATAGCATAATTATTGATATCTACTTACTGATTTCTAATTGTCGCTGTATTCTGCCTTTACATCGTTCTCTGTAGTCCGTTTGCGTCCGATTGTACTCAATCATCACCTCGACGAATTTCCTCGACAGTGTCGAGTGCTGCGTTTTTCGTATTCGCAGATCCGCCGATGACTTGTTGTTCTGTTCCTCCGTTTCTATGTTTTGTTCTATCACTATTTATAAACAAAACAAAAAATATATTAGTTTATTATTCATTCATTTTAATAAGTACCGTTTTACCTTTTAACTTGGCACGGACTTTGTTGGCAGTTTTCTTGATGTCGGCCATCAGGTCTTCCAATTCCTGTTTCGTTTCTGAAAAATGAGTAAAAATGGTGATTAGCTGTAAAATAACGTCTATTTATAACTTTTTACAGCTTTTTCTTTACTTTTCACTTTACAGTTTCCAATATTATCATTTTTGAAGAAAGTAAAATTGAAAGTCAGTCCTCGTAATAATATATTTTACCATTTGCAACACCTTCCTTTTTCAATATCTTCCACCAAATTTGAAACGTTTATATTCCTCACCATTCTTCACTTTATACCTTATAATATTTGAAAGATTTTGAATCCTTTCTGATTTACATTTTTTCGTCATTGAAGCAGACTCGTTCCAATTCGTTTTCATGCCATCCTTTTCTTTGGTAGATATAAATAGAGGTGATAGAATGTGAGACGTTGGTACGTGTAACAGAGCAGCAATTCCGAGCCTCCCTAACTTTATTTATAATTCACGAGAGTGAAGAAAGTAAAAACACCCAAGCGAAACAAGCAAGTTGCAAAAAAAACCTTCCATCTCTGCGTTTTTATTTCAACCAATTTCTTAACATCTACCAATAGCTCACTTTCAAAAAGTTCCGCAACCTAAATCTCATCTCTAAATGTCCCACCTACATCAAAATTTACTATAAAATTATTATCGTCCTGATAATAAAGATGGTACATATATACATTCGAACAATTTTGATTAGATTGAAACAAATTTACGCTACAATTCCTCAATGCCTATTCAAACACGTAAATCACGCGCATGGAATCGTCGAATATCGACGTTATCATTAGTAATCGCGCAACATCGCGCCTACCATCAATCAGTGAATTCAAGTCTCTATTCGCAACGCGTCGTATCGAATTGAATCCAAATACGAATCCTCAAATCTCTGTGTGGTGGGTATGTTGCGAGCGCTTCAAATATTTATCGTTCGTCGCACCGCCGACGAGACGTGCCAATGTGCGTGTCATGGCACGTTATCGATTTTCCGTTCGGAGGTGCACGAACGATTCAAGCCGATAAAACAAAGAAAGTAGAATGCGGGAAGCGGAAAAGTCAGCTAGTCATCAGAGACAGCAAGCGAATCCGGAATAGGATAGGACCGGGTTATTGACTCATAAAACTTATAATCACAAATCACACTCTGATCCACTTCAAACTATGATACGTTATTATATAAACAGCAAGAATAGTATTTATTTCATATTTTTGAGCTTCAAGTTAATTACCGTTAGTTAAACTGTATATAAACCCATATTATTGCAATAAATACTAAAGTCTCCACAAACTCACTTAGTTCCCTGTTCACGCCTAGAGCAATGAACCAATTTTGATGAACTTTGGTATAAAAATAGATTGAGCTTAGAGAAGAATATAGAATACCTTTTGTCGCAAAAATGTAACATCAGGGTGGTAAAATAGTTTTACTAAATTGGTAATCACTGCCATTACTTTTAATTTCACAAAAAAAAAACTGTACCGTGCATAATTTATATCTATATGCAATAATTATGGTAAGATATATTAATTTGTTTTGGGGTATACCAACACTGTGAATGTATTCATTAAAAAAGTTGTTATAAAGTTTTCTTTTTTAATTTGCGGAGGTGATTAATGACCAAGATAATAAAAAAAAAGAAAATAGATTGAGTCCACTTAACCTCCGTGCTTTTCCTTCGCATCATTTCGTTCATTACTCCTCTCATCCTATCTGCTGCTTTTATATATTTTTTATTTCGTATTTTCCTTTTTTTATAAAGACTTTTTTATGCAACCAACTAACATTACGTTAATTTATAGCTTATAAAGATATACATTTGTCACTCGTATAATCACCGAATATCATAAAATGTGTAGTAAACTCGGGAAAATTAGTTAGGAGATTGATTGTTGCTAATTAGAAAGCCGCTTAATCGTATTTCGGGAATGGGAGCAAACGAAGGAAGGTGGTTATGCGGTGGAAGATAATTATTATTTATCAATCAATATTTAGTCGGCGAATGCGTGTTTTATTGCGTTTTGTTTGATGTCGACATCGAATCAACGTCGACGATGATGACGTCAAGCAAAACTCGATGCGCAGCGCGGAGGAAATTACAAATTTAATTAACCCACACGATAAATAATCAATTTTACGTGTTGGAAAATACCAACGACCATAAAAATTAATTAACACAAACAGAAATATAGTTACAAAAATAAATTTGCAAGTATCGAATAAAATGTATTTATCGTTGAATTTTATTTGAAGGTTAAATGTCAAGCGCTCCTATTGAAACCGCATGAATGAAATGCCTGAAGAAGTCTATTCGGTTGCATACCCACGCGTCGGTTTTTGTGCGCGTACCACCCACGCATTCTGTCGTCACATTCATTCATGCACTCATTCGTGTAATGCGAACTGTCGAACGTTAAACATTCGCCAATCTGCATTGGGGATCTAGCTTATAGACCATCTGGAATACACGTATTGTGCTGCCCACGAGAATCATCTCCGCCCACGTCGTGTGTTGCTTTACGTGTATACGCATGAACTCTTGATCTTTCGCGCTTGCTTCTGACGATAGCCATCTACGCAAGCAGCAAAAAAGCGCAAAATGCAAAGGAGAAAACGTAAAAACAGACAAGCCCCCGTTAGATGAAGATAATAAACGAGCAATTACATTCAAATTAGTTAATTTTTGACTTAATTGGTAGACAATTACGGAGAGAGAAAAAAGTGTAGGATTTATTTAATGATTAAGAATTCTTCTTAAAGTAATAACTTTCCTTAAAGTTCATCATCGTTATGTCCGTTTATGTTAGAGATTCATGAAGCAATCATTTTAATAATTGACACTATGATACAAGTCAATTTCGAATTCAGAACTCGAAAATCAGAAATCACGCCTCATGTCTTTTGACTCCCGGCAGCCGCCTTCCCAGCGCAAACTAGCGACTCGTCTCGCAATGATCGAATCGCGTCAACCACCATCGACATCTCTCATACTCCAATTCCACCACCAGCCCAAACATCAATAGCTATTTAAATCTTCACTTATCTGATGTAATGTGACATTTTACTGAATTTGAAGAGTCACATACGAGTATTTTGAGACAAAATTACACATGGAAAAAATTAAAAATAAATGTTATTAGTATTATTAATGTTATAATTTGTTCAATTGATCATTGCTTTATTGCTGTAAAGTGGAGCAAACACGAGGACACAGAAACGCAATGTACGCAGCCCAGGACACCAAACGCGTCCAGGGGAATTGAATGGTTTTGACCTTCGTCGATTCGCCATCTGCCAACGCCGCTGGCAATGCCACCGCCAGACCTCACCACCACCAGCAAAATAGAACGCAGAATACAACTGAATCGAGATGAACATAAACTGGGTGGAGAAATGGTGGTGGTAGTGGTAGTAGCACGACCTCGTCCTAGATGAGCAAAATACGGTACTAGGACGCGCACCAGACCATTACAAACTTTACCGGGATAAACCAGACTACTCTAAACTACCAGCACGTGATTCATAATAAATAAATTACACAGAGAATAATTTATATCAAATAGAACAACTAATTGTACAATAATTACCCCAATTTTCTTTTTAAAACCAAAAGAAAAAATTAAATGTTGAATTTTTTATGCTAGTGGAGTTTGTAGATGCAAGAAACGAAGAAGCACGAAATGAAGAAAATTAAATTACGCCCGAACGTGATTTTTACTAATTTGGCACGGACCGCCGGGCTTCCGGCCGACGGCCTAAGACCCGACATTACAAACACGAGAAGACATTTTCCCGACACGAAAGGCACCGTAAAGAATACCAAGACAGTAACCGCCACGCCAGAAGTCTTGAACACCAAAGTTAATGCCTTCACCGTTCACACCAGTACGCAATTGGAGCAGGATACGAAGAAGAAGAAGCATTCGCTTGTAATCTTCGAAATCCCAGTATCACCGAGGAAATGTAGGTGTCAGTATACATCAGCAGCAAACACTTTGTCTTATTTAGTTCATTTGTTTTATTTTCCTAATCTTCAGAAATAAGGGGTTCAGATAAAAACTTCAGGGCAAGTGTTAAGCTGACAAGCCAGCCGACAATTTGAATTCAATTTTTAAATGCTACGCTTCTTCCTCCACTTAATTAGATTTGTTAAGTGCCGCAGCATGCTTGTATCAACAACCAGCCAGGAAGCTGTAAGAAGTCAGCACTCTGCACCCTGCAACGGATGTGAACCACACAGTCTGTGACATTCCAGCGATGGAAGTAGGGAACTTGTAGTAGAAAGGGTGGCCTGAAATGGGGAACATTAAGCGAGGCGCTCATCTTCGTGTATAAATTAACGCACGCTTCCAACCCTCGCACCTGACAGCTTCCTTCACCTTCGTCGCATAACTCCAAGCGATCTCAAGGGAACCATACAACTTGCAAGTAGTGCGCACAATGTAATTTAACCAGGACATTACGTGCACGGCTCTTGTTAGTTAATAGCACAGGATGTAGAAAACTAGTGAATAGAGCTTTATAGAGCTTTTTTTTATTAAAAATTCTATGTGATTATATTTAATTTGAAGTGTAAAAAATAGTATAACTTGTCGTCGGATAGAAATAAAACGCTTCCAGGTCTTTATGACCCCGCATAAAACGTGGAAGGCACAATCGCTCTTGTTGGCGATAAGAGCGCTGTAACATAACCACATGTTGCGAATTTATTTTTAATTTACGACATTACAACCGCGCCGAGCCGATGTGAATTTTCCTCAAACGCATACACCCAAACACGCACGAAAACTACCACAAAACAGATAGTGTCAGTATGGATAGCACATGTGGTCGCAGGATTGAGAATTGGGTGTGGCGGCAACACGTCCTAGCTGTAAGGGTGCAACAGCGCCATGTTGAATCGGACGGATGAGCAAAAACGCGTGAATGTGTGCTGCCGTCGGCGGCAACCGGGTGAGGAAACGCGGTGATTTATTGTCTTAATATTCCCAGACTACACCCCATCGCGCGCGCGGATGGAAACTCGTATCAGGCTTTTCCCACCCAGTATTCAGCATATTCACCACTTTCCCAACAATTTAGTCGATATATCGCTTCATCATAGTTATAGGTTCATTGAAATTACAACAATGTCTAGAATCGGCTACAATACAAATATCTTTTCCTATAAATTATGCGATAAAACATCTCTTAATCAAATTTGGTTCCTTATTAAATCGCGGTACAAAATTTCATTAAAGTTATAAATAAATTATTAAACAAAAATTAATAATACATCCTCAAAATGCCGCTCGTAAAACTCCAACGAGAAAGCAACTTTTTACACCCCTTTTATCATTTTTTATCAGCAGCACCGCCCGCCGCACAAAGTGGCCGAGATTCATTTCATATTCATGCAAAAATTCAAAAACCTCAACGTTTGCACGTACCTACAGCAGAATGGCGGCCGCGGCCCGCTTTTCCACCCTTCGCGAGCATCGACCGAATGTTCAGCACTCGTTCAGCGGGCGCGTGCTTAAAGAGCGAATATTGAAAAGCGACGTTGAATGAAAACTGCCGACGGAATAGAAATAGAGGAATGGCGAAAGAGGAGAAGCGCGGGATGTAAAAATGTACAGCCATTTTCATCTGCAAAATTTAGACAAGGATGCAAATAGGAAGTACTATGAAAAAAGGTGGTAAATGAAAAAAGGGATGCGTGTATAGGTTGAAAACGCATATAAATTAATCAGGTGTTACAAATTTATGTAAAAAAAAATGAGACAGAAAGGGAGCAAACGAGGAGGTAGGCTTTTAACGACGAAACAGTAAAGCACAAATTAATATTTTCAAACCCACAGAGTGTTGCAAAACACACAAATGACTAAATTCACATTATTTGTCATGAAAGAACGCAGTATTTAATTTTAATTTGATATGTGTAGCGACATCTATTATCGTACATCCAAATCTATTTAATATATTAAGCCTCGAATAGATATACAAATATGTTCTCTTGTTTGAACGATACAATACAATACAATACTGCTAATGTAAAAATCGCACGCGTGATATGAAAATTACACTCCATTAAAACATTATCCTCCATTTTGCCATCCACTGCAAATTGATATAAACAACGAACAAACAAAAAATAACATAAATAAGACACGCGCCAACAGCGGAAATTCAATAAAACAGAACAAGTTTGATATTCTGCCATTTGCGATAAAACCATGCATATTTATAAAACCCGAGGCTATCGATGTTCGATATGAAAGATTTATTAAAATTTTCAGATATCAATACAAACCTTGTTTAATCCATAAAATAGACTAATATATTAACGCGCTACTTCCCGAAATAAAAAATACTCTTACAATTGAATGAATTTATTCGTAACAAAAATATTTCAAATGCGCATCATTTTAATCTATTTTTTTTCGCCGTAAACATACTTTATCCTGATTTAAAATATAACAATGCAATATTTTGTGGGGATTAAGATTAGAAAAAAATTAATCTAACAATGACTCATCGGAAATAGAAATGAAATTCGCACAAACCGATAAATTTGTCAGGATTGCAGTCGTTTACTATTTTATTGTCAAATAAAAAGTAAATAAATCATTTTTCTCCTGGTAGCAGTTTGTGATTTATAATAGAAATAATTTATAATATTTATATCATGCATACATTGTCGTACAATCACGTGAGAGTCTATTTTAAATTGTAAATACCCACTGGTTATGATATGATAAAAAATATCAGAAAAGCACAGATATTGTAAATTCAATATTCAGGACTTTGTTCTTCCATCAACGCAAATCTAAAAATAGTTCCTATATTATTGGTATTCACAACTGATTATCCCAATATTTGCATTTTAAAAATGTAAATCTCCCTATATCAAACAAATATATTTAAAGGACAAAGTCAACCCATTTGTAGTCAATTTGCAAACATCCGCAATGAAGTCGTTCGCTATTTTGCTTCTTGCACTCGCAAGTTGTAATGCTGTTGAATTAACGTAAGTAATATTCAAATTTGTTACATCAATATTATAAGAAACAGACAATCAATTCACATACAGAACAAACCGAGAAGTATTGCAATACTTCGTTGAAGAACTAGGACATTATATGGAAGAGAATGGGCTTGATCCTGCACATATCCCCATTGCTAGACTAGGAATTGCTCCTAAAATTAAGGTTTCATAACAAAAATTTAAAAAATCATTATACTGATGCGAATTTTAAAATTTTAGTATTTGACTTGCAAAAATATTTATGTGACTGGAATGGCCCATGACGAATTGGACGTAAATCGCGTCCTCTTCCGTTATGGAGCACGTCACGATCGTACTAGGAACAGAATATTATTGAGTATTCCTCAAGTGGCCGAAGACATTAGTGTAAGTAAACATAAATCTTACTTTGATATTAGAGTCGCAAGAATAATTAATATAAATACAATTACTATTTCAGTTTACTTGTCAATTCTCCTACGACTTCATGCTTAAAACCTTCAGGGGTTCCGTGCGTGGTACCATCGACAGCACCGACTTCCCCTCTATTCTTCAGATCAATATCAGATCTGGTCCGGCTGTGACAATCAATATTCCAACACCGTTCAGATTCAGGTATAAGAAAACTATAATAGATACCATATTCTTACAATAACTGAGTATTTATTTTTGCCTTCATAGAAACATCAATTTTGAAATTTACGACGCTGATACCGCCACCACCGAACTGATGAACAACCCGCTTATTAAACTAGCGTTAATGCCAGCCCTAGAAGTGGACATTCGTCTTATTTTGCAACAGAAAGGTGCGCGTATTGTACGTGAAACCATCAGATGCATGCAGGAAAATTTACAGCCACAGTTAAATGCCCTTCGTATCTAATAATTCGATAAATTATAATTTAGTTTAATCTTAAGAAAAATTAGTATATGTACCTCTAGACGCAATAAATTACGCCATGGAATTATTTATTACACAAGCAAATAGTCTGCAATCAAATACTACAAAAACTTTCATCAGATGTCCTCAAAATTCAACAAATTCAGTGTAATAATACAAATATATATCAAATTTCATTTATTCAACAAACAAAAATATAGAACGAAGATTTTCTGCACTTCAACAGCAAATATTTTATCATGAGGTGGACGAAAAATAATTTACATAACCCATAAATAAATATAAACATATATTTATCGGTTTTTCAAACATTTACATAAAAATAGCAAATGCTAAGCATAACTTAGCGATAACTATTTAAATTGAAAAAGCAAACTCAGAATTAGTAAATTTGTACAAAGCAACTGTGCTCTTCCAAGTACCCAATTCACAAAATAAAACATGAAAGGTGCTATTTTCTACGCAGTAGTTTGCCTAACTATAATTAACATCCTAGCCGTACCCCCGTATGTATATAGCATAAAAATATTTACTTATCTGTTAAACATTTAAAATATACATTTCTATTGCTTTCAGTGATCAACAAGATGCCGATATAATCAATACTTTCAATGGGCAACTACAACAATTAATCGCAAATAGCAACATTGATCCTATTTTGATTCCTATTGCGTCAACAGATCACTTACGAGGAGTAGGAATAGTTTTATTAATATAATTTAAAAAACACAAAAACAATATTTTTGTTATTTTAGCGTTTGATTTGGAACGATATAATAATCAGAGGATTATCTAGTCTTAATGTAGATACTAGTACTTCATACAATTTAAAAGTTAACCAGGATACGCATATTGTAAATGTTACTCTTGTTGCTCACAATCTCAGGGTAAGTTTAGGATCATCTACTGCAAAATGTAAGGAAATACTAAATTAGTGTGAGTGTGATTTTGTTTATTACAAAACAGTAATCCTACGATTTGAAGGCCACGGGTTTGGAAATATCAGCTCACTTCAAATTCCAATGCAATATACGATACATCAAAATAATCCGAATAACATCACAATTGATAATTACAAATTTGATTTTAAGTAAGTTTTATTTTTTAAAATCTGTGGCAATGCTCAACAAAAAAAATTCATTATTGTAGAAATATTGAATGGGATCTTACCACGACTGATATTCGCACAATTTTGGTCTATAACCCGCTTACGAAGAAAATAGTCCAAGCTCAATTTCACGACGCTGTCATAGCAATTCTTCAAACTATTGCAGAAAATATAATGCAACTTGCAATCGGAAAGTTGTAGTCAAAACAAGCTTTCGCAGTTAGTTGTTGGGTATGCTCTAACCATATATCAAAAACATTCGGGATGACATCACAAGTTATCGCAACTTTTTCGACATTTTAAATTTTTTTAAACTTTCAAGCATGGCAAGAAGGTTTCTCTTAAGCTCTATACCTACATGTGTTTCTATTTTCAACTTTCTAAAACAAGAGTAAAAAATAAATAAAATCCCATCCGATGTCTCGCATCCCTTTTGAAACTTATTTTATTCAACAAAACATCTTCCTCTTCCCCTGGTGCAACTTGGCAGCTACAAGTCACGGCCGGCATGCGAGCATTGCAACTTTTCGAAACATCACCTTTCAGCTATTCAGTTCGGTTCAAAGCGATGACAAGCACAAGAAACTGTTGCATAAACATTTCTTCAAAGATGTAAAAGATGTATCCATACCGGCAACTATTCCATCTTTGATGTGCAAATTTGTTGATGGACTATTGAATATGAAATGTTTTCAATTCGGGCTTAACTTTTTTCCTTGGAAAACAAGTTAATAGTATCATAGTACCATATACGCAAATATTTTCGCACATAAAATGTGTTGCATATCGTAGCTTTCTAGCTATCTGGGCGATAGGTGAGCGCCGGCGGCGGCAACAACATTGATGGCATGCTGGCAAATGGTGGTAGAGACAGCGTAGGTGAAACGCGCGCCCGAAACGAGGTCAAGGTCCATCGGTTTTGTGCCGGGCGGGAAAAAGCATTTCCGTCCGGTCGTGCGCACTGCCGTCGGTTGAGAGTAGCGCACGCCACCACCATACATACACACGCATACCCACACAGCATTACACTGCTGCAGATAAACCTTATCCGTATCTGGCAATTCTACGTTATTCCAACAATACCACCTCCACTACTACTCCACAGCATCGACTATATACTATATAGTCCCACAAATTCAACAAGACCCTACTACCACACAAAGAAGTGTTTGCATAAAGACTCAAAAGTCTACACGTATTTCCCCATAGCGAATACTGGATACTGGATTGAGTACTGGAGTTTGAAGTTGGAATTTGAATTTGAAATGGCGGGGCCGACAATAAAAGCGTGAAACCGTAAAACACTGCCGGAGCAACCAAGTGTACCAAGGTGCAAATGTAGATGTTAGGTTGTAAGGTACAAGTACAAGCAGCACACATCCTGCATAGCAAGTAGAGTAATAAAGCCAAATAAAAACCGAATAACTTCAAAACGAACCACCATTGCATGCGGTAGGTCTTGCAACCTGCTACCAGCAGGATTACAATATATTATTATCGATACGTCGGAACTGAACAAACCAGAGGATGCCAGGTGTGACAGTATTTAAATCGAATGACTTACAAGGTCATCAATAGTCCACATTAGTACGGATGAGAGACAGCATGTGTATATACTCGTAGGAAATGATAGACTTTTACAATTATACAATTGATATCATTGGTTCCCATAATGTAAATTAATATTGTTAATGGTGTAGTCAACTAAGCGTTAAGAGAAGTTAGATCAAAAGATATATAATATGCCTTTTGTTCATAATATATTAGAACCAACACAACCTGAACAAAACTAACCTAATGGTAAGTGTAGAAAATGAAGCAATTTATTTGTTGGTTGTTTACTAATCCTAGTCAAAGTTTTCACGAGAATAGTGTGAATAAACGGCTGTACACCAAAAGGGTGGATACAGGTCAAACCCCAATCGGCCAACCTTGGTTTTCATTAGTTCTCGAGATACACACAACCCAAAAAAATGCTGTTTAGGTATACCAATTTTAAATTAGATTAGTAACTATCCGCAAACTTTGATAACTTCAGTTTTAAATTAGACTTACAAATTTTGCTTGCATTCAATTTTCTGCTCCTGGTCATTCTGTTATGTTATGACCCTATTTGCATTCATCTAGCGTAGTCCTTCCAAAAGTCCCGCAGGTCCCTTATTCCCAATATCCCCAATGCCCCCGCAGGCATACGCTCTTTCCATCCCTTCGCCGGTTGAGTTATTTGCAACTCCGCAACCGACGCAAACACACAGCATACAAATACCACAAAGGGTAGTTTATTAATTTCCTCGTTGATTTTCACCAGCGCAGTCAAGCTATGAATAAATTTAACCCTCGCACAAAGCAAGTTACAACAAATGAAAGAAAACTTGTGCAAATTAAAGCGCTAACAAATCACGTGATAAAAGAATGAAAAAACTAATTCTGCATATTTAAAAATCCAACATGTTCGCATTTAATAGGCACCGTCGCCTGCTGGCGTAGTGTTGGAGCGTAGGATTACAGCTAAATTACGGAACGCTTTCCGCTCTTCAGTTCCGCTTTCCGCTATACATACGACATGCAGCATCCGGCGTTTTGCCCGTTAGTCCGTTTGTTCGGCGTATTTCTTTCTTTTTTGCGTTAATTTACCCGGCGCCTCCGCCAGCAGCCGCGCAAGGACCACTCACACATACACTGATTCAGAAAGCTATAGATTTCTGGCGACGCCGGCAAACGCAGATCAGAGTAAACAAGCGGCGGTTAATTGCCGCGCGGTTTTTGTGTATCTTTCGTCATTTTCCAGTGCCACCCTAAAACCCTCACCCCTTAATTTACCACAAACGAAAAATTTCGTGTTCAATATTTTGTTTCGAAACTTTGATGCCAAGGTTTAGCGTTTAATCAATGCATTTATTATTTAAACTGGTAGATTAACAAGTTTTATGCTTGACGTAAATTCATAATATTCTAAAAATATCACGAATGCGTGTAATTTGCAAAGTTGAGCGCGGAATACAGAGTTAAATCCCGAATCCTTGACGATTTCGTCCGAGCGCGGACGAAAATAGTCGTGCCATGCTCAATGGTGGAAGCGTCGGCGGCGAAAGCTTAGCGGCCGCCGCCGTTGGCGCGGCTATCGATTTCGGTGACCTTCGCACGGCGGCAAACGCCGAACACGCCGCTGAAAATGCCGAACGCAAACGCCCAACACCCCAGCGCGCTGGCAAATTCGTCGCCGGCCAGCGCCCCGCTACAAATTGAAACCAAACACCACTCAGAAACATAACTATTGAAATATCGAAATATCTATCGCAAAGAAATCTTTTATTTGAGTATTGAAACACATGGTATTTGCTACCAAGTAAACCTAATAAGAAAATAGTCGTTAACCTATATTCCAATGATACCTCAACTCGTATTTTCCTTTAGCGCCGCGTCGAGACGTATCGTTTTACGCCGCTTCCATTTTTCCTGTTTTACCGCTTTCCACCCTTGTGCGCACTTTGGCTCGCTCATGGGTTTCACCTGCTCGTCATCGTCACGCTCTCCTTCACCCGCCACCCGTCGACGTCGTTGTTCGCCTAGTCATCGCGGCGCGTTGAACGCAAACATCTCACATCACCGAATCCGCGCGGAAAGCAAACAAATAAAAAAAAGTGGCAATATGAGCACAATGTCGGCAACATTACCACAAACAAGTTGGCAACAACACCATCAAAAGCCATACAAGTAAGAATATCAAATAAGAAAATTATTTAGTAAAATATTTGTTTCTATTTCAGCAATATACAATAGACTAAACTCATTGGGTGGAAAATACAGCTCAGAAGACCTGTACAATCCAAATACTAGATCTACGGGTAAAAACTAGACCACTAATCGCCATTGATTTTCTTGCTCTCTCCTAGAACTCGTTTAATTAATCTGTTTCCATATGCGCCCATCTCTACCTCTTTACATTTGATATATTCCTCGACGAATGATAGGGTCATTTCAAGCGAAAGATTCCATATTATACTCGGTTGATTCTGTGTTGGTGTTGATGTCCCTTTCATCGTCTTTTCTCCATCGAACATTTTGTCATTCGACCAATTGCCCGCTCAAACGCATCTGTTCCTTCCGAGCTATTCAATTCCCGCACCAGCATTACACCGACACAAAACCGCGAATGCGGTCGAGAAGGCATTATCTACCCCTGCCATCCCGCATGTTTGACTAATTCGTTTGCATTCACCTTCAACATTTCACATTCCACATTGCCACATATTGCATTTTCTACAAAATTATATTTTTTAGTTAAATGTAAAGCCTAAATCCCTTCTTTTTTGTTCTTTCTTTCCATCATAAAATCGAATTAAGAGCCCAAGAAAGATCTGCGGATCAAGGATCAGGGACCAAAGTAATGCGACGGATAAAAGGTGAGGCTCCCCATCATTCAATCATCCTGAGCGCGTGTTCGTTCATTCCTTCGCACGCCAGCCGGATGTGATGTACGTCCATCATAAATCAAATGCGACTTTCGACATACCCGTATTTCCCCCAATACAACATCAATAAATTACAATCTATTCAGATATCAAGAATAAAAACTGAAAGTATGCGAATCTAAAGTTGTAAAATGGTACATATCTGAATAAAATGTGATGATTTTTTTATAAGAATATATATTTTCTGAACTGTACAGATAAGAATTGTTTTCTTGGGAACTGTCAACTGCCATACGTAGAAAACCAAAATGCCCTAGTTCTTCCCAAAACCAAGTATAAAAAATGACCACATTACGTTGAACTCCCCACAAGGGAATTGCATTGTTTGGAAACATATTACAAAATGGCGTCGCACAAAACAAAATACTCTTCTAAAAAATTCAATTCCACAGCAAATCAAATAAGGTTCATTTTAATTGAAATATACTCACTCTTTTACATTTGTTTGTAAGAAAAAAATCTCTAGACACTTCTGACAAAGCAAAATTTTTCCATTACGCGTTTATGTTCACGCTCACGTCTTCTTAATTTCGTGAACAATGCTGCAGACATGCGATTCGTTTCGAGACAAAAGCCCAGCGCAAATTGCCCAAGTAGCAACACAACAAAACACTGCCGAAGAAAAAATAATGTAGGAAAGCAAAAACCGCCACTAAATGAACTTATTATTCACAGGACAAAAAGCGGCGAGGGTCTTGATAATTACAAGTCATAAATTTCGTTAAGCATCGTCGCCAGTTTTCACATTTTCATAATTTTCACAAATATGCAAATGGGGAAGCATGGAATCGCCAAACTACAATAACCATATTTCAAAAGTAACCAAAAAGCATATTGTACGCACTTAAATACCAGCTAATTAATATTATATTCCGTAATTAGCATATTTAGTTTGTAATTATCTCCTGTACACATTTTTACTCCCATTTTGGTCAAAATTTTCACGAAATACATTAATTTAACCAGCAATAGTTTATTTTATGCCCCGCCTATTAAATATACCCCACTCTTATATAACTCTGCCTACAGCTCTCCAACATTTCGACGTCAACATCAATTTGCTTTGACACGGCGCGGTGACGTTCGCCGAAGGATATTAGGCTCGTTTTTCTTGGCGACAGTCCTGTGTGAACTCGAAAGTGTATAGTAAACCTATACGTATATCCATTTTCGCAAAGTATCCGAACGTTCTTGAGACTTACACACCAACAAAAACAACGCGAAGCCTACAACGTATTTATATTCCGGTTGGAAATTACGTTTCGCTTTGTGAGCGCTAGAGTGAAAGCACTCTTATCCACGACTCGACAATGTTAAAACAAAATGTATGGAATAAAACTTAAGAAGAAGGAAACATACGAAACAAAAAATGTAGCAAGAAGAGGATAAAAAAACTGAAAAAGGAAATACATTACATCGTCATCGACTTATTAAATTTAGCCCAAGGGGATAAGGGTAGAGTTAGGTGGTGGTGGAGGCGCCGCACACGCAATCGAATAACTGTCGCACCAGAATAGCAAACGCGTGTTTAATTTTAGCACAACACCAGCACTATAAAAATTAAATACAGCACAGGCCAACCAAAATATAAAAACTACCCCTAAATATTAAAGTGGTTAAAATAATGAATTAACACCTAATAAAAAATCTTTTTATAGAATTTTTAACTTCTAAATCACACCCGGTATTCTTTTAGAGCGGTATTCACTTGCCCGCCTAAAAGGTTAAAATCTTTAGCGATTGTTCAAAGTTTGCGAATTTAACTTTTAAGTTGTTTTCACTCGACTACACGAATAAAGTTAATTTACGTTATCATAGCCGCCCTTCAAAATTCAGCCATGCAAGCCACACCAATTTCGTAAAAATATCAAACTTTAAACGAACCCACCTACTGAAACAACAAAAGACTAGCTTATTAAAAATGTCACTAGTACCCGTAGAGAAAATAGCTAGTAAATTGGGATGGCGTGTTTTACTAGCGCGATTTCAAATCGCTTTGGCCTAGCATCGATAAAGTGAATAATGTGGATGACTATAAAGGCTAGAGAAAATTGGAAAACGACGAAAGTCTACCGTCGAGCCCCACCCCATCGGGCCGGAAAGCGTAAAGTAAAGGCAAGTCGCAGCGAACTCCTGCCAAACTCGCGCTACGTTGCGTCGAACAAAGGCTGCTCGCGTTCTTTTTGAGCGTTATCCTCGCTCAACGTAAATGTTCGCATAATCGTGCGACCCGTCGACATGTACGACAAGGTGCATAATATGAAAACAAAGAGGCAGAGCCTGAGACAAAGCGCAGAAAAAAGTACAAACGTGACTGGAAAGGAAGAATAACAGAACATGTTAAGAAAGTGAGAAATTTATTGGAAAAACACTTGAAAGTAAAATAGGGTAGGAAAAAATCTAACGGATGAATAATACGAGTCCGTTAGGAAATACAACAAAACTTTCTGACTTAATATGCAATAAATTTCGTTTAAAAAACATCCACTCCCTAGAATAATTAAATCATCCCCCGCTGTGTGAAATTTTCACAATATAATCTCGTTATTTTATTTATTCAGCCGCTTTTACATCCTTGCTAGTAGCCGCCTCCCAAGCCCCATGAGTTGTACATTGTACAGCCAACTGTAGAAATGGCTATGGTTTGTATAGCGCCGGTAGTGGTGATGGTGGTGGCGGTAGCAATACTCATTCCGTTTTCCATTATGCTCAAATTAAACGCGCGCCACAGCAGCCGCCAGGCGCTCGCCGCCGCCCGCGACTAAGTAATGAGGTCAATTATATGCCGCGCCGGGTATGGGCCAAAAGGGTGAGGGGCGGTTAGCAAATCTACCCCCTCCCGCTCAAATGGCAGCAGGCGTATATGTTCGCTGCGTACCAATGCAAAGAAATCGATTTCTAAACCGAAACAATACCGAAAACATTGCCAGGCACGACCATGAGACACTTTACCAACCCGGAAGTACAAACATGAAATACAAGCAGTAATTGGAGTAAGGCCGGAAGGTAATACCATCTTAACAAGACACGACGTGAAATTAATTACTAAAACTGGTAAATTGGACTATTTCTAGGTGCCTATGTTAGGCGTTCAACTCATCAAGGACATCGTCTTATCCTTCGTAAAAATTAAATTGAAATCTACAGGTTTTTTATGCGTAATAATAAATAGCCAAATAAACAAATTGAGAATAAAAAGAAAGCCATCCAATTATTGTGCCCGATAAGAAAGATGTGATAAAGTGTAATTGTGTACTGGATGCCCACAAGGTGCATTCTTGTTTAATTGCTTCTAAAATCAAGTTGGGATAACAAGTGAGCAAATTTATTGGTCTGGACCACTTCCCTTAACTTAATCCCAAGCCGTTAATACGGTTTTACGATACCAATTATTAATTTCCAATTATAATGCGCAGTTTTCCATTAAAGTATTTTAAAAATTCAATAAAATACAATAAACTTTTATATTCGATATTTTCTATGTAACTGTATGCCCTAATAGGGTTGGTGTGTCATAGCAAGCAAAGTGGCGCCAACTCACCGTCCCCTTAAATCAAGGGTTTTCTTTTTCTTTTTCCCCAGTTTTCTCTATTTTTAGAACAAAAACCGCGCGGTCAAACGCAAACCGTTGTTTTGTATGCGGTCAGGTCAATCAAGGTTGCCACCCCGACTCTCCAAGACTAAAGAAAAACAAAAAGGCATAGAAAGTGGCATCTCCATCAGGCCATCAGAGCAATTTGTCCACGCATTTCACACTTGACCTGAGTCCACTTCTCCGAACACAATAAACGCAGTTCTAATTTCACATCGAAGATATATTTTATTTTATCAATTCTAAATCTCTCAACTGTTGAATTGAAGACCTGTAGACATTTCGTCGTTCGACCAGAAACTAGCAATCGACAGAATGTTCTTCTCACTTGACTAAACACAACTCTCCGCACCCAATACTCCACCCTTTCGACATTTTCCTTCTTGAAGACAAGAAAGTGTTCGAGCGTCTAGTCAAGTTTGCTGATGGTTGCAACTTGCACGAAGCTCGTGAACCGTGATCATTTCTCATCGACCTGCAAATACACTTCCCGACACCTTTACTCTTCAACACATGCTCGCATCCCGGCGCGGAGGAGAGGACCTTTACAAACATCCGTTCTAACCTTTGCAATAGTAGTGCAACACGCCCGGGATCGTGCCGACGCGGCGAAATTGTTTAAGCAATTTGTATCCTTCCTCTTTCCTAGATTCTAGATTCCTACTACAGTATTACTTCCAACCTCAATCTCTACTGGTACACGACTACAAGACTTGCATTCACCTGCTTGGAGAGGAAATTTAATCAACCATTCCATTTTTACAAGTCTGTGTATCACGCAACAAGAGTAAAACTCGAAAAAGGAAGTTGTAGCAAATGAAAATTTGCAATATATATTCTAATAGTCTTATTTACCAAAGAAAAAATAAAAAATTATTTTTCTATACACTTACTTTCATCGCTCTGGGGTGCAGATAGGATGGCACTGTGTTTCTTCTTTACTTCTTCAACATTCGCCTGCACCTTATCTATCATGTCCCGTATCTCCTCCACCTATAAATAAATAACAAGGTAAATAAATATTTATCCACATCCACTTGATATATTTTCTTTTGATTAAGTTTAGGCAACCAAATATGCACTCTGCTTTTACTAAAACCAATTTGTGTTGCCTACTTGCCCAAAAGCACCAATGGATCTATTCACAACCTGAAAATATCTCACGAACGTAGACGAACAAGGATGAAAAGACCATTAAGACGTAGAATGAATTATGGAAGAGATCTAGAATCTTTCCATCTTGCTTTGCTCTTATTCAAAAAGTAGGAACAAGTTCGTTCACAGCATTGCCTTTCTTTCTGTCTGTCTTTTTTTTGGGTAGGTTTGGATTTGTTGGATTTTATTTTATATATCGCGATGCGAAGTTACCCGCAACCCTACATCTGTAGCACATACTATCACCTCAACAAGAAGTTCCAAGTAAAACCAATACAAATGTGTTGTTGTGTGCTATTGAATGAGTTGTATGTGTTTACCTCTAGCCTAGAAAAAAATCTCTGCGCGTGTGTGGAAACGCAAGATGGCGAATGTCACCGAAGCGGAACAAAAACGCAGATAGCTGAAGCACGCAACCCGGCATAGTCGAGCAATCATGAAAATCATAGATAGAAAAAGTAAAGAAAGAAAAAACTAACGACGATATAAGAATGATAGAACAAAGGAAGCGTAAAGAAAATGGCGGAGCAATATATTCAACATATTTTCGAAATTCAGGTTGAAGAAATTAGAGTAAGTAAATTTTTATCAAAAGTGTAATACTTATTTTGTATAATACCGATGTATTGTGCTATATAGATTACATTCAATTATTCGCAACTTATATTTAAAAAACAATATTCGCGCTGCTATCATCTTTCTCGTAGGAGTTGGTGTGACAAATTCGCACAATCACGAAAAGTGATAATGCAAACAACGGACGACACCATGATGACTCATTCCCTCGCTAGTCGCGGTAGTTAAATCAGTCTACTGTAAATTATTGCACATCGCGCATGATAATAACAAACAATTACGACTGAAACAAGGAGTGTACATAAAACCACAGGTAAATTACTCCTAATATACGCATCCCCGGGGAATATTAAGAAGATTACATGTATTAATTGTATAAATGCATTTTACTTCGTGAAAACTTTTACGAATGCATTTACAGCCTCATATTAAAAATAAGTAAAATGAGTTATTTATCAAGCTATTTTTCACCATCATGCATAATAATATGGTAGCGACAAATGAAAATAAACAAAAATAACTGCATTTACATCAAATGCAGTTAAACCAATTTATTGTCGCTTGTTATGAGTATTTGGTTCAAAAGATTAAATCATATGATATTGTAGTTATTAAACAAATTTTTAAAAACAACATATTTTACTCAAAAGTAAATAGAAAATAATATTGTACATAACTCACAATAAACAATTATTGATTAAATTATTTGCAGGATGTGAGTAATCACATATCTTTCAAGTAATCCCTCAATCAATCAATAACAGTGACCCACACTTCTCTATTATCTTGATTAATTTCATCATCCTCCAAACTCACAATACCTAATGATATGAATTTTGTTCGATTGTAACATGGTTTGATATGATTACCCAAACTACATTGTTATCATAACCATCAAATGTAACTACTGATAACACAAACAACATAAAACATACATAAATAGATCAGGTTTTTCTGTTCGTAAAAAAACAACAAGCCTGTATGAATCATCAGAGTAATAGCAATAATGACCACTTAGATATGATTATTATAAATTATATAATCACATTTAAGTAGTTCTCTATTTTCCTTCGTTTATTCTATACTTCATTATTATTTTTCTGGTGGTAAGAAACTAAGTTGCTGACATTTTCAGATCTAAAACATATTAGACTTTAATTTAGAAAAAAATAAAAAATCATTAACAAAAAAGTGAAAATAAAAGTTTGTTAAATCACTGGTCGTGTTTTACTCTAGAGTGTGCAAAAATGTTCCCCAAATATGTATATTCGTCATTTTTAAATAGCTTAGTTATTAAATCACTTCATGCTTCATAGTCAACGAAAGTTTTCTATAGTTTATGCTTGTACTCTCGTTCTGTGTTCCAATCGACTTCAATAATGCCGATTAGAGCTGATTAAACATACCGCAAATGAAATCATACAATTCAAAGTCACAAATGTGTTCATTTCAAGTGCAAATTAATCACATCATTCACAAACAGTTTACAAAAACCCAGCTGGGATCTAAAATATGTACGTACTCGTATTGTGAACAAAAACAACATTCGATAAAATAAAAAAATAAGAAACACGCACACTACCAAATAAAAGGTACCAAAAAAACTTTCTGTGTTTTAGCAATATTCCGCACATTAATAGTCTCGAATGTATTACATCACGTATCGCCAACGCCTACGAAGGTACTCGAAAGCGTAATGCGTTTACGTCGTTCAATTGAAACCGTTAATGACGCACGTGCATAAAAACGTAATGCACTATAATAAATGCAAAACACTCGTAAAACCACACTCAAATATACGTGTTGAATTTCAACTATCAGCTACCTGCATTATCTTTTACTGCATACAGTAATTCTACTCTATTCGCCTATATTGAATGTATAAATATGCAAAACATCTTTATGCAGAGATCTTTATTGTATCCTTGAGAATGTGATAATAATCTCTTTTATATTTTATATTATTTCGTGTAAGTACATATATTTTACGTGGACGCGTCCTGCATTTTTATTAGGTTTTTATAGAAACAATTTCGAGACAAATTTATAAGCTTGAATGTTTCTTTTATCAAATCTAGTATTACTAAATACTAGGAACCAAACTTGTACAGTAGTAAATCAAAGTCCTGCTGTTACTACGGACTGTTACAGGTACCCGCACCGTGTATCCTCTCACGTTTCTCCCCACTATTTTTTGTGGGTCGCCCTCTGTTATAAAAAAAAGTAACCCACAATACGGGACGTGATAAGCTGTTCCTGAGGGTTAAAGCAAAATAGTCGGAGGTCTATAGGTTTCTCTCTGCACCTTTTTAGGGTTATTCAGTTTTCCTTTCCCTTATCCAGTCGTTTAAAAAAAAAACAAATCAGAAAGAAATAATTCAAATAATAAAACTAACGGACAAGAATTTATGTTAATATAGATAGCAAAATAATGTACCTCTAAAAAAGTAATATAATATTTCAACAAAGAACGGAAAATGTTAATGTTAAAAATTGGTTCTTTAACATGTTTCGAGTTTCAGTGCGGTGTGTTCACCAAGCGCATAATTTGCTGCTGCGGACGTTTTGTCACCGTAATGCTTAAACTAGCGGAAAATAACTGAACAAAAAGATGAACAAAAACTATGAAAGTATAAATTATTAAATGTTGCAGGAAAATATACCATATACACACAACAAAATATAAACTAAAACATGCAGTAATGTATTTATTTTCTTTTAAACTTGGCTAGTAATATGTAGACAACCAATAATAGATCAATCCTAAAATGAAAAGAGAAACAGAAAGTGCATCTATAAATAAATGATTGAATAACAAACACTTTTCTTGAATATTTGATCATATGACCCTGAAATCAGCTGCTATAAATACAACTGATTCATGATTTAACAAGCTATCGGAATTCAAATCGTACAAAAATTGTATTTACTTTAATTACCGTAATGCCGGTGATTTTTTAAATTAAATTTACTAAAAACAATGAATAATTCAAGCAAATTATTTTAAATCAAACATTTACACAGTCCTCTACCAATTTTCTATTCGTAAATTCCTAATCGCGCGCGTAAATATTTAAACTGTGTGACTTTCGATTAACGATTTACTTGGCGAGCAGTGGCCTTTTTCTGACCCTACCGCTAAACCTGATGTAGACACCTACCTGCATGTCCTGCACGCGCTCGAAAGCATTCGGTTGCTTTATACTGAATACGTTAACGATTCCTAATGCGATGTGCGCGCCGCGACATCAAATGACCCAAATATCGAGTGTCATACAGACATTAGCAGTACATATTGCTACCTATAAGTGTTTAAGTACGTGAACTATTAAATTGTCATGACATACATTTGTCATGAGCGTACACGACCAGCCAAGGAAACTATTTCAGGATTTGATAAATTCACCCTTCAATCGTGTCGTGCTGAGATTATCATTCATTGATAAATTACAAGTGTAGGTATTAAGGTTCGATAGTTATTAATAACTTACTCAAAATCAAATATATTTTTTATTAATTATTGTGAAATCTGTTCAAAAGTTTAATGCAGTTTTAAAGTTGTGGATTAATATTTAATCCCAGTTAAATTTTTTTAATTGCAAAACTACTCGATGAATAAAAGCTTAGCAAAGTTTAATGCAAAATATGACTAAAAATCTACCACAAATATAACTTTATAGCGTTTTTAAGTTTTGTTAAGATAATCTGTCTCCACCCTAACCTGGTGAGTTGATTCTATTTCGATTGTTGGGATAATTAATTAATAACACAAAATCCAATTACCTCTGATGAATAATTTCTTCTGAATTCAAATTAATATATTATACACTAAATCTAACACTTTATTTGATTAAAAATTTAACATAACAGAAGGCTATAACTGTCCATTTCGATTTTATGATTTTCATAATCAAACTTTAATTCAATATATAATAACTTTTTGCCCAATAATTTGTTCGGCAAAATTTGAACACAGTTTTATACAGAAATAAATATACACTTTATTTCTATGTCACTTAAACATAAATTAAATTCATTAAAAACTTACCTCTTGAAAAAATGCATCCATGAAGCCATCCCGTCCCTCGACGTTGATGGCGGTATCGTCCGGCCCGACGTCATCATCGTCACTTTGGGCCTAAAATTACAAACCACATAAACTTTACAAAACATTTCACTTTATAGTTATTAACAATATTTAACATGTAATCAACCTAAACGATAAATTAAGTTGAGTTTACTAGTGCCTGTCTGTGTCTGCGGCAGCTAAAGCTAAGCGATTATGGACATTCGCAATGTGCGATGAGCGTCGCAAAATTTAATAATCGATAATTTTTAATTCAATAGAAAACGTCAACCGCAATATCCCCGGCCAGTACCCGCCAAGCGCGCTCTGGATGGATATTAACGACGAGAGAGCATCTTAATGCAATCATCCAGAGTGCGCAATCACAAATGATTCAATTTTCGACCCGGGATTCGATCGTTACGCAAATTTATTAAACTAAGCGTAAACCCTAGAGTATACAAACAAGAAAAAGTACAAAATCAAGCAGAAGTGCCCCGTTTGGTTTTAGTTTGACTTGATTTGGCTTTCGATTGAGTCTTAAAATGTAAAATGGCGTCCTATCTCAACAAATCCTCCCATCGGACATGCTGGCAGAGTACTGCATCAATCTCGCGCTCAATCTCCTTTCCGCCCGGATGAGAGACATGTGCAAACACGCCCGCCCCAACGTAACAGGTACCCTCGCCGCGCTCGTCATTCAGCAAACTTGACTTGGACACAAACGCAAAATCACTTCATAGATTTGAAACATCGAAATAATCAAACAAAATATAATCATTTTAAAACTTTTTATTATAAACTTTAACATCTACACAGAGAAGATAACCTAGATTAAATTTTTGACAGCTGACAGCTATAATCCGACAGCTGTCAAACATAGATAGCCCAAATTTAGGCAATTTGTTGACACAAATTTATAATATTTAAGCACTTGCCGCGCTGGCGTAGGTCGAGCATTAATCACTCATGACACGGCGACATTAATCGCAATCGTCGCTAATTAAGTGTGCATGCGGCATGCATGTGTCGGTACAATCGCAAACACAATAACGAATGATTCATTCGCCACACGCCATTACAGCTGCTGACATTTGGCTACCTGTCAAATATCAAAAACAATGTCAAACATAACACAAGAACTAACCTATAACTACGTGAGCAGTTTAATCGATTATTTGTCAGTCTTGTTTGTTGAGACAATTGTTGATGGGTGAAAATTAACCTGGTTGCCATGGAAATACGTTAAACAACGACGCATCGACCATGCATGGCAAAAAGGCCGCGCCTGTTTTCACCCAGCAAGCAGCTGGTTCTGCTCGTTGGTAAATTGTTTCTAACCTCGAAGCTCGATATAATCTTCAGACTTGTAGGCTAACCGCACGATTGTCAATTGTCATATGATTAGCTGACACACAGCAGGCAGCAAGAGTAAAAGTGATTGACCCAAAAACGCAACAGCCGTGCCTGTGCCCGCATACACACCGCCTGACAGCTTGCATTTGTTTCACATTTCAACCTCAACTAACGGACAAGTGCACCCGCTACACCGATGACAATCGTCTCTATGCATAGGTATTCGATTGTTGTTCGTAGTCAGGTTGAAAACTTACCGCAACGAGCGCCGCTAATCTATCCTTCGTCATGTCGCCGGCGCACAGTCGTCGTCGTCGTCTCGATCACGCTCGCGATCACGATCACGCACCGAAAGCAGCAGAGCGCCGTCCGCGTAGTAGCAATCCCATTCAACACCCCGCACTCGCGTGCAGCACAGGTGGACAGCGAGGCGACGCACCGGATCCGCACTAAACTAAATTATTCGCGACACACCACGAGCACCCGGGCGCCGTGCGATGTGCACTCACGCAGCGATGTGATCCGCGCTGTCCGCCGACCAAAATCGATAGCGCCGCTGCCGACGAGGGCTCGTCGCGCGCGCGCGACTCCAGCGCCGCGCTTTGCCCGCAGCGGCGCGCGCCCACCACGCATGCGTACCCACATGTGACGTCACGAATTTATTTCAACTTTAACAATTATTTATGAAAAAAATCATCAGCAGATCACTATTATATACATGTCAAAACAATATTGAAACTAGTACAACAATTTGTGATATTTTTTAGATATAGATACTATATGAAGGTAAAATTGTATAATTCACGTGAGATCGTCATACGCAGACGAAGGGGACGCCATTGTGAACCGTAACGACTCTGTGGTACGGTTGGTGTGATCCGCTTAAATCGACACCATCGACCCTTGGACAGCCTTCTTCGTGCCATCAACTGCTACTCTCGACAAAAGGTAACCGTTTGTTGTAATATTTTTGACACCCAACTGCCAGATACAGCGGAAATTGTATGTGAAGTCGGCGCCAGAATACGAGAATCCCGTGTTGCGCTTCAAGCGGCGCCATACCGCCGAGATTTCATTGCTAGCGCGCTCACTCGCCCACCGAAACGTGCTTGGACCGGTCGCGGCAAAACTTCTACTCGTGATCATCTTCGCCAGTGATAATTACAACTAATCAGTGACACACAAAGTAATACTTGCAGTAATTTGCGCAATTTCGTTTTCATTTAAATTCCAGAACATTCGAAAGATTCTTCATTGGTTTCTTACAACGCAGTAAGAAACAAGTCTGTGTAACCTCAAAATTTTCCGCGCCAATTTCCAACGGAAAAATTACAACAGCATTTGAAACAAGGTAGTGGAGAATACAATTTAAAGCTCTTGCTTTGTTTTCTTTTAGAAATCAAACATGGCACAAGAACAAGAAATGCCAACCTTCAAATGTGTGCTCGTCGGCGACGGCGGCACCGGTAAGACCACGTTTGTGAAGCGTCATTTAACGGGCGAATTCGAAAAGAAGTACGTCGCAACCTTGGGTGTGGAAGTGCACCCGCTAGTTTTCCATACCAACAGAGGCCCCATTCGTTTTAATGTCTGGGATACAGCTGGCCAAGAAAAGTTTGGTGGGTTGAGGGATGGCTATTACATTCAGGGCCAGTGTGCCATCATTATGTTTGATGTAACATCTCGCGTCACATACAAGAATGTGCCGAATTGGCATAGGGATTTAGTCCGAGTGTGTGAGAACATTCCTATTGTCCTTTGTGGCAACAAAGTGGATATCAAGGACAGGAAGGTCAAAGCTAAAACAATTGTGTTCCATAGGAAGAAGAATCTGCAGGTAGATATTTTTAATGTTAACTTTGTTTTGAATTGTGTTTTATATTGTTTTCCAACTCTTTTAGTATTACGATATCTCCGCTAAGTCGAATTACAACTTTGAGAAACCATTCCTGTGGTTGGCGAGGAAATTGATTGGTGACCCGAACTTGGAGTTTGTCGCTATGCCGGCGTTGGTGCCTCCAGAGGTAACCATGGACCCCCACTGGCAACAACAGATCGAGAAGGACCTCAAGGAGGCGCAAGAAACAGCGCTGCCAGAAGACGACGACGATTTGTAAACATCAAAATTGGTACTGTGGGGGCGCGCGATGTTGTTGTAATTTGCCATTCGATATATTTTTTTACGAGGGTTTCGTCATCGGTTGTACTTTAGCACACGCGTAATTACTTCACACACACCACAAAACAACAATAACAGAAATTAAATTCCTGCAGATTGCGTTTCAAGTGGAAGCGCAACTGGTTATTGTTAGTATGTTTGCATTTCATTTTGTTTAATTATTAAATTTCAAATGTGCGCTAGCTAGTTAATATTGTAACTATTTTTAAGTAAAACACTACTTTATGCAAGCCGGTAACATCAAGAGATTTGGGATGTCATTTGCGCTTTGGTCTTTATGGTTAAAGTACTAATGTTAAGCATGTATCCCTTAAAGCACGACCTCTGGCAATTTGTTGGAGGTAGATGAACCGCGCGGGATCAGCTCAATTAATCGATCATTTCTTTCTGGTGATAACATAAATAATATTGGACTGATGAAACACAATATGGTGAAAACAATGACAACATGCAACAATGAATGAATTATGTGGAAATCTTTTTCTGATGAATGCGTTTATTTTATTGTACGATGTGTGTTAAATAAACGATAAATTATTACGTTTCATGTAATTTCATGCGTTTTTACTGTTAAATTTTGGAAGCACTTGAAATATCACGAGCAAACATTGCTAAAGCTACGTTCTTTTATAAAACACTCATTGGTATACAAGTGCTAACTTTGTACAATTGTCGACAGATGGCGCTACCGATTACAATTTAAGATTTCCAACGGTTATGCCGATTATTGTGTTAAGTAAACAACTCGTCCATTGTTTATCAAAACATTTGGAGTGAAAAAGTTAGTACTTTTATTTAATTAATCTCGGGTAGAGATTCTAAGTTATCAAACAGTTGCAGCGCATTAGTGAAACCCATCATCAGTAAGTAAGTTTGCAAATAATAGAGGTGACGGGATGATGACTGACGATAGTGTTGATAATGTATAATTATACCCTGCTGATGGACAATCAAAGCGGTATCGTGATGATCGTGACTTCGGACGTGACAGTGATTCAATTCGAACTTTTATCGACCGTTAGTAGGTTTGTGAGCTAACGCCAACCGCCGCATTCTTGCATTGTACTTCATCTTTCACTCAGGTTCGTACACGCTGATGCGGAGTGCACTAAGCGTGCATAATGCATTGCAAATTACAAATTACAAATTGCGCCGAAGAAGATCCTTTTACTAGCATGATAATCATAAATAATCGCAGATAGAAATTATTGATATAGTATGGAAGCATGAAGTAAGCAGAAATCAATAAATATATTCAGTACATTATGATGATGTTTGATTTCTCACTAATTTCTGCTCTGGGGTTAGTTCCGGGATATTTTCATTTGTAACATAGATGAAGAAAAATGTGATTTGTACTTTCTCTACTGAATTTTACTTTTACCAGTTTACAAATGATAATATGACTTATATTCACCGAACAGTAATCACTGATATTTAGTTTTTTGTTTTTAAATCTCTGCTTGCATACTTGATGTAAAGTGGTACAATTTATGTGCAAGTACTTGATAGTAATGCATCTGCAAGTGTTAAAATAATGGCAGACCTGCGCAAATACAAGGTTATTAATTTGATAGCATGTTTTTGTTTGAATTGCGATTGTATTAAGCTATTAAATGATAATAAGTCGCTCGGAAAACGGCGATGGCGTAAAGAAGCAGATTGGTCAATAATTTCACGCTCTGATGCCGCGCATCTCAAAGCGGCATTGAGGAAACGGTAACTTTATTTCCTCTTCAACTTGTGCATCTTTTTCATCTTCTGTTTGATTGTGAATGTAATTGTGATTACATTTTTAACACCATAAGTTAAGGTGGATGCAGTGTAATAATTATGAGTATAAGATTTATGTTTTAATTTTATTTGAGAGGAAAATAATGGGACCTTTTACAGAACAAATATTTGGTGAGATATTTTTTATTTAACAGATTCGATGCGATCCTCGCATCTTTATCATCGGCATTGGTACAACAATACAAAAATTATACAACAGAAATGATCGAAGACTGGTGTGATCGCAAGATTAGACAGAGTGTGTTGTCGCATTGGAAACGTTAATAAATAAATAATTTAATTAAAATAATTTATAAATATCGCCCCGCTGAAGAGGGCGTACGTTTGGTGGACGCATCATCACTCACTGGGGTGGCTGGTAGCCGGGTTGGAGTCCCAGAGGAAGGGGCATGTCGAAGCTCCTGCCGTAGCCGGAATAACCAGCTGAATGGCCGCCGTGCTCTTCGTGGGAGCTGGAGTGTGTGTTGGAGTGCGAGTACACCGGTTTGGAGACAATTTCGTAGGTGGTCTGTTTGTGACCGCCGCCAGCCAGGGATTTCAGACCGATGATGGCGGACAACATGAGGGAGATCAAACCTGTCATCAAAGCCTTACCGGCCAAAGCGGCCAATGCACCGAGAGCGAGCGCGAAGAGGGTTCCCTTCATCATGGCACCAGCAGCCAAGAGCATACCGCCCATACCGCCCTTCTTGCCACCGCCGCCTCCCTTGGTACCACCGAAACCGGATCCTTTACGGGCGGACTCCACAGCAGATTGGGCATCGAAAAGGTTCATCTTGATTGAGTGTGTGTTGAGGTAGTTGGTCACTTTCTTCATGAGGAAAGCGTCGAGACGAGCGTCTGGATCATTGGGGAAGTCACGGGCCAACTCAGCCACCATGTCGGCGGTGTTGGAGCGGGCGGAGCCATCTTCGCGCACCACCGTCACACCCGGTACCACACTGTAGTCGTCGTTCTCGTTGAGCTTATCCACCCACGAGACGATATCCAGCTTGAGGCAGGTGGTCGAGTAGCTATTGGCGCAATCACGAGCGAACGAGCGCTTGTCACCAGCGGCGGCTGCTGGCTGCGCTTGATCGACGGGCTTATCCTGAGCGGACGCCGACACCAGCAGAAGCGCCGCGACGGCGATGATGTGTGTCAACTTGTGTGCAAACATGCTGAACTCTCTGAGGATCGCTGCTGAGCAGGTGCTGGATGGAGCTGTGTTTGCGATTTGTGAGGATGTGTTGATCGACTGATGCCTGCTGCCCGTCGCCGGCGAGCTTATATACTTGTAACGTCGCCGCAGAGGTGGAGCCCGCGCGCACCAAGTGGAGCAAGAAGTCCGCACCAGCAACCAACAACCAGCAAACACCAACAAGCACATACACGCACACATACATATCATCATCATCACTAGGTCTAGGTCTAGGCTTAAGTCTGCATGTGTTTGCTACATATATTTCATTTTTCAATAATAACTGTTACGTCGTATCAACAGTTGTGTCCAACAAGGAAAGCAAGCATCTTGTATCTGTAACAATTCGCATCTTTGTCTCGCCACCGTTCCGGCTCGTCGCACGAATTCTAATTCGAATCCGAATCGGTATCATCCTAGTGCTCGCGCCATGGCCATTCACTTTTCGCTCGCAGCGCTAGCAAGCAAGAGCGGTGTGGACGCCGACTCCACCCATGGAAGACGGCGGCGGCTGATGGACGATGCATTAGAAGTTGCGCGCCGCGGTCAAGATGGAATTCGATGAATTAATAAAAAGAGCATGAAAGTATGACAGGCAGGCGCGCTGGCGAGCAGGCGAGCAAGACAATCGCTCCATATTATCGACCTTCTCCACCTGTGCTCGCCGCTGCTGCTCTACATTTCACATTTCTTCGCTGCTGATTGCTCTTTTTTGCCCGTACGAATGTGATTAGACGCGAGTCGCGATGGGATTGTGATTATTCACCAGGCAAGCCGCAATCGTGCATATTGATATAATCGTGCATTAAGAAACAGATACTTCTACTGGTCTACTGTATTACGATTACTAGAATATGCGCAGATATGCAAAACAAGATGGCGGATATGACGGACATTGTGGACATTGGCAGTGAGTGTGATCCGGGTCAGAAATTCACTTCCGTTCGAGTTCCGTTCGCTTCTTTAACTTCCTTCCTTTTCTCCGATGACAACAAACTAGATTAACTTCATAAACACGATAAACTTTTACTAAATTCGTATTTAAATCATAAACCTAACCTTATATAATTTCAGAGTTTGTTACACGTTGTTTACATGCAAATTTAACCTCAAAAGTTGACTTTCAAAGTTGTAAAGCAGTAGCTTTGTGTTGGTTTGTCATTCTTTCTGGTATTTCTTTTTGTACCTTGGTAGTACTTTGTGTTTGACATGAGAAATGATTTAGAAATCGTCCAATTATTTATCCGCAACACAGCGTCCGCATCCTAGTCACGGAAGGACGAGAAAAAAAATCTCCAACACGAAGATCTCACCGAATGACACGCAGATTTTGCTCGAGGAAGGAAAAGTAAACTAAAGCAAAGAACTAGATAAAAAGAGTTTTCAAACAATTGAATGAGTAATGTGCAAGTACCCAACTGTCAAAAATGTCATTTTTTATGAATGAAGTGAAAAAAAAAATTGAATCTAATCCGTATAAATATTCATATCCGTTGTCCGCCATTAACGCCAGATAATTTCATGTGAAATTTCGGTCGGCGAGACTTTTAATTAATTTTTCATCCGTTGGCGGACACGCCTTATGTCTCATGCTCTAATGCCGCTCATTTACATACCGGCTTAGTTTCCTATACTCCACTATAAGTGCGTTGAGCTGCAAAGAAAGAAACCAAGACGAAAAGAAATGCGAGATGCTAGATAAAAAATAAATCTGCGCTGTGGGCAAAAAGTCGGCGCAGTCGGCTCTAATTATTTACCGAACGTCCGGCGCACGGCGGTCCAGCTGGAATGGACTTGTCTAGTGTGAAGAAAAACATGACGATCGACGATGAAATGTGGATGAGAAAAAAATGTATAACTGGGTTAATGGTGCGGCGCGCATAATTATCATCGCGCGGAGTGGACAGGAGGACAAAACGGATTCACACGCTGCGGATGCGGAACTATGTGAGGTGTGTACTGCGCATGCACAAGATACTTAAAACAACAACATACAGCAAAATATAAATATTATCATAAATAGATTTAAAAAAAACAATACTATAGAATTTAAGCTCCTGCGTTTGGAATTGTTTGATAATGCATTGCGCCAACCCTGTCCAAATTTGGGTAGTCAACATCCCCTGAACGACTCCAGTGATTAACCTGCGGGACCACTTCGTAGCTCACTTTGGATGAAGAATGATGTTCCAATAAACTTTTCAAGGCTGTGGCGCTTGATAACATCAGCGAAATCAATCCTGCTCCTAATCCTTTAAACGCCAATATGGATAACACTCCCAGGACGATTGGAATCTCAATAGATTTCTTCAATACCATCAAAATGACGAAAGGAATCAGAAATCGTTTTAATTTGCTGCTGCGTTCCTCTAAAATATAAAATAAAACATTAATTAATATAAAGTTAATTTACTTTTGTTCTAATTCTATTTGACTTGGTTGAGGTAAATTTAGACAAAGTCCAATTGTTGCCTTAATTGTGGCGACGAATTAACGCGCGCAGGCAGTGATTACACGTTGCGTATCAGGCGGATAATTGTCGATTGCATCGTCGCGTTTACAACGCCTTTTATTCGAAGCGTGCCAGCATGCAAAAGATTATAATATACATAATGTTAAAACAAAATCAAAGTAAAGACATTACACACAATGTATAATGGGTTGCATACTACAAGGAGTTTATGTTTTGTAATCGCTCATTATTCCACAATGTGCATTATCTTCGGTTATGAATTATTACGATCGATATGAGCAAATGTGCGTTCATCATGATAATGATCCATGGCAATTTGCATGAAGCATGTCTGCATAAAACTTAATGCGTGCAATTTAATTATCTAAGACGCAGATCTTAAAAAAAATGGCTAAACATAACCTATAATTTTTTTGATGCGGCCATTTTATAATTTACAACACGGATGTGAAACTTCCGGAAATGAAATGCATTGGAATAAGATTAGAAATAAGAAGAATTTCGAAATTGATTCGATCGATTTCACATGGTAATTAAAACGGCGCGACCTTAAACTCCATCGCAAGTTAAGTAAAGTAACTCAAAACACCTAAACGTTTAGCGTACGTATTAAAGTTTAAACATTTAGATCATCAGATCATCGGAAGCAGCCGAAATGTGAATCAAATTAACGGTTCATAATAAAACCAGAACTTTTATAACCGCGCTCCTCGCGATAACTTATAATTTTATTGTCGGCCATTTTGTTTCCTAATAGCGCAATAGAGTGTTATCGAATTGTGATTAATTAACATCCGTTTAAGATGTTTAATGTTTAATGTCTACTCGTAAATAGATTATTATCGATATTAAATGTGGTGTGTGGTGTTGTGTATTGGAATGCATTCGGGTCGGTTCGGGTCAATTCGCTCGCTTAAGTTGAATTTAGACGAGAAAGAAAGCATATCTGTACTAACTAACAACTAACTAGGCGAGTTTCGAGCGGCCAAAAAGTCTATAAAATCGATGAATCGAATCGGTGTCCGGCATTCGTTTTTGTCGGTCGGTAAAAGCACAGACGAACTCAACGCATACGGTTTAATAACAAACAGACATGGCTATTATTAGTTTCGAATTGTAATAATACTTATTCGGTGTATTTGCCATATTTGTTTGTAATTATAGCTATCGTTAACTATGTACTTCGTTTTCGTTTCAAATTGTTTCATTTCTCCGATGCTATAAAAGCTACAAACGTGAAATACATTTTAATTAGTTAACAACAATAAAGGAAATGATTTGCTATACTTTCAGCTTTATACTGCGCATGCGCATTAGTTATTATTGAAATTGTAGAAACATGCCTAAAATGTTTGTTGCACTTTGAAGAGACGATAAAATTTTAATTAATAATTTTTATAAAATATTGTTAATAGCAATTAATTTACTAAAATGCTGTTATATTGTGTTATAATTATTATTTTATATCAGGTAGTTTCAGAATGGGAGCTGTTTAAACTTTTTATTAACTTTTATATCTTCGTAGTTCTATATTTCAACTGTTTTGATGTAAATACCATTAAAACTGTCACGAATCGTTGACGTTTATAACTGAAACATAGTTAGGACACTTTAAACCCAGTCACAGTTAATAAAAGTGTAATAGAGTGCTATAAAAACGGTAGTATAGTTGACAAAACAATCGTCAGCATAAAAGTAGAGTCATATAATTGGACAATTCACATGCCCGTCACTGTAAACAAAATGGCTGACACTTGCAAACGACATTTTTACTGAATTTTAAGGTTATGCGTTATTGTTGTATTAAAGTTTTAAAAGTGGAGAATAACTTGCTTATTGAGTTTAGAACGTAGCGCAACGAAAAACGAAAGAAAAACGTATGTTGTATCACATGGTGTAATGGCGCTTCGGCGCGCGAATTTGGGTTAGCAAAAGTACCTTTCAATGTTTGCGTCTTCAGGTTCGTTCCATGCGTTCGTTCTATGTCAATGTTTCACTTTTCCCGGCCTACAGTCGAGCACCGTGCGCGGCTTCAGCCGCTTACGGTCATGTTTTGTTTCTTGTCGGCGCGTAATGACGTGCAGTGACGTGTAATTGCAAATGGCGGCGGGTAGCAATCATATATGCAAAACCAACGACGTACGACACACTCGCTGTTGTGTATAATAGAATAATGTTAGTAATGTGTATGCAATGAAAATTAATATCCTGAAATGAGATTTTTATTCTTTTCTTTCGAGTTTGTTTGCTTTTGTTCTCGAGTTTTATAAAGAGAGTGGACGGGATTGAAATTTTAATAACTCGTAATGTCCGCACGCGAATAAACTCACGTAGTTATTTATATTCATGGTTGTTATTATCGTCGAGAGAAGGTAAATCACGCGCGTACATCTTGGGATCCCTTGTGGAAACCTTTCTATGATTGCAATGATGAGAAAACGGTTGTGAAATAAACAAAATGATGAGATGTAAGTTATTCGTTTAGCATAATTGCGTGAAAGGAAATTAAATTAAGGAAGATAAAAATATTAGTTTCTTATATACAGAGTGTTTTGACAATGTATTATAAATTTAAT